TCCGTATATGACACTGACGAGGAATGGCCAATTATGAGGGCTGACGGTAACAAAGATATCGGTAACTATTTTAGGTTATTATGGAAGTACGTAGAATTTTTCAACTCTCCCTAATTGCAGTCTATTCATATTTCGTAAGATAGTAGAAAAGGTACGTGTATGGAATATTTTATGTGAACAACTAATTTATCTGTCTGATAAAAATTACTTCCTTTTGCCGCCTTGACCCTGTAGTTTTACGAAAGGTATAGAATTAACGTATTGTCCTGAGTTTGGGAGGAGTCTTGAAAGTAATGCGGATTACATTAGAATTTAAAATTATGATTTACCTAGCGTTGTTATTCATAATTTTATGATCATCATATCTGGAGATTGTAGAAAGCATCCAAAAAATTTTATATTGATTAGTTATCCCACTAAATTTGACCAGATATTGTCAATTCTTGATAATTGCTATCCAGCTTGCATCAATCCTATTGATACGCTGATTGAGTGGAAAGAATTTCCCAATTCTAATACACTTGATTGGGTTGGAAAGACTGATTATAGCTAGCGGTAGGGGGGATAGAAAAGAGTGGGATGTCGTAATCATACTTTCGCATTATTGCATTTCATCGTACTATATTTTAGTTATCAAATACACGTATTAAAGGTTCGCTTTAAAATCCTTCTATACGTATATTGAAAAATATGCTGACCGGCGCTTTATTTTGAATGTTATGAAAATTCAACCGTAAAAATTAGAGGATACTGCAAGAAAAACCCATCATATGACAAAGAATAAAAATTCAATATTGAACTCTGAAATTTGAAATGTTTATGCAGATTGTCATCCGTAAGTTATACTCTTAGTCTTTCAATGATAAGTTGACATCGTTGGTAGCATTTAGTGATAGGAATGTTAATAATGCCATAGTCATATTACTTAACATACAACTTGGCTAATATCGAGACGGGAATTAATATATCGCTTGCCGTTGAATGTTACGGATGGAACTCCTTTTGAGCTATTCGTATTGTATTATTAATAATTTTAATTATAATAAAATGTAAACGTCATATTATAATACACTTGGGGACGGACAGCAGAGATTCAATTTAAGTCTCCTTCATAAAAAATAGTTATATGACTTTATTTCAATTCATATTGCCTTAAATTAAAAATAGCGATGATAGATGAATAATCGACTTCGCCGATCACGATGTAATTGATTTGATACACTTGACTTAAAGTCCATACTAGGTAGGTATCACGACGTGACAAAGTTAGGAAAAAAAGACGTTGTGGCTTAAAATAAATAAATAATGCAACCCAGGCGTCCAGGGAGTCTGTCTGTGGTTTTGTAAGGTTGTTAATTATAATTAATGGGAAAGAGAAATATGGCGTTAGCGCTGTTGCTAATGCTTTACTATAGTTGCTACCACTTCAGTTGGGACATATTCAGCTTGTATTTCGATATCGAAATTTTTATTTGTCTTCTATCCATCGTATAGTCTTACTGTGACAATTATATAAACTACGCCTACAATTTTATGTCAGAACTGTAAATTAAAAAATCAAGTTACACTGAGTGATGTTGCAAGTAAATATCCGGTAGTCAGTGAAAGATAAAATAATACTACGCGTAGTGGTTCATTTAGTTACGGTATCCTTATATCGATTAATAAAATTATTATGACTGAAATTGAATGCAATGCAACTTCAAGTAGAGTTGATAGAATTAGTTATATGGCCAAGCCGTACGGCATAGTGTAAACGGTGTAATCGAACTCGTAAAATGAACCCATATTTTATGGATTTACTCTACCATACAGAATTATATATATATATATCTACACCATGTAGAAATAAATCATACGTAATAACTAAAATTGCACTGCTGACGGACTTTCATTATTAATTGGAAAATCGATATTCCATATTTAACAAATAAATTTTTTTGTATTATTTGTATAAATTGAAGGTGAAATGAAAAGTTAATACTTGAGGGTGATAATGCGATTGTTATTCCCAAACAATCTATTAAGTAGTTTTGCATAACTTGCAAAAGTATCGTGCTGAGGATAGTCGTGGTATGTTTGAAATCATTATTAATAACCTTTTTCTATAGGGAATACGTAAAATGAGTGTCGAGAATATTAAATTACTGCAGTAGTTATGGTATCGTTTTTGTAAATGGTATACTGTATATATATACTGTGGATACCAATATCTTCTAGTGGAGCCCTTGCGCATCAAATGGTAATCTTGAAACGTTACTCTACAACAGCTTGGAGGCATTGAAAATATCTCACTGCCGTCAATTACCTGGTTATTAACTATTTTTACAAACCGAAAATAAAAGATACCAAGTTTGACTGTAAATTCATATAGAATGATTAAATGAAAAGATCTTTTTAAACATCAACGATTGTATAAGCTGTAAAATGCTTATGATGGTAGCAATAATGTTTATGCTTAATTCCTCATTTTTTTCTGTCGATAAACTAGTTTAAAATGATAACATCTAATTCCGATGTTAAACATTTTTCAATAATATTATAGAATTCGAGCCTGGATTAATCATTTTGACTATAATTATAATTTATAGCCGTTGATGTACTATAGTGTCATCATCACAAAATCTTGATATAGGGTCGTAAAAAATAGACTAGCATAAGGTTATCAAGACGGGTAAGATACGGGTATATTGCAAATATTCATTTTTTGCCTACATCAACTTTCATTGAAAGAGATAGCTATATACAGTATAAACTTATTGAAACTGAAATAATACAGTAAATTGAATATATGGATATAATTAGAAGTATGGTTTCACCCTGTCGTTATAGAGAAAAGTTTATAACAATAAATACAACGTACGTAAGGCGATTAATCCAAACACTATGTACTATATATGTTTCAATCGAATAATGATATTTAGTATTATAGGCATGTGATGCAGCCCTGTCATGGTAATTGCTATGTAGGCGATATTTGTAGACTATCTAGTTTGCCAGTGCTCAGTAAGTAGATATGTAATTTCTATATTCGGTAATTAAATGAAATTGAATTATCCAGTCTACTTCTATACTACATTGCTACCCACTCGGCTATATAAGACCATACGATGTTATTGATACAACCATTCTAAGCCTTTGTTATTTGGTACTGTATGCCCCTCTTTCTATTAATGGAATAATATGCGTATACGTCGATGTGGTCTAAAGTCATATTTCGCCCTTGATGATCGTCGATATGTTCTATAGTTTACGTCCAATAGGTAAAGGTAGGATGTTGCCACTGTGTTATAGAGATGTTAATAAAGTAATAGGTAAAAAATATTAAAAGGAAAAGCAATCATATTGGAAATTATACTTCGAAAAAACGACGATAATATAAGACAAGATATGTCAAAATCGTTAAGGCAATTCAAGCCTTATAGGTAGATTAATTTATCCATTTTGTGGTTTTTTTATGGTGGTACGATTTCCAAGCTTTCTTTTAATTGTCGACCGGTTCTTTTTTTACTTTTTTTTGATACATAAATTCTATTAGTTTTAGTTGTCGTAACGTCTACATTTTTTACAATGTATTCCTGCAACGCCAGCGTGGAGTAATGGTCGACAATTATTATTATCTGTAGCGATTATGCTTGCTCAGCAATGTCTAATGGACGCGAGAAATGATGATTGTTTTAGGCAGCACGGTGTTAACATCAACTTTATGACTTGATATGTTCACGATACTAAATTATGAGTTTTTATCTAGCTGTAACTGTTAATCCCTTATTACGTATTCCCCGTAGTCCCAAGGAATAATTCACCAGTAATTTTATTTTAACTACTGGTAGACTGATGGCCGATTCTGTGATTTTTTCTTAATACCGGCTAGATTTGAAGTCATGGGGAATATATAATTTTTTAGCATCACGTCATTACAAGTAAATCATAGCAAAAGACAAGTAGTAACAATTTTTTATTTCATATAGTCGTTTGTAAATGATTCTTGGGTATGGTTAGTCTTTCATTTAATTCCCTTTTACCTTATTTACAAATTAAGCTACAGTAATACGGGTGCTCGTATTAAAATGTCGATTTCTACTAAAGGAATTACTTTGACTGTGATACTGATAAGATAATTACGACTTTTCAGCCTGTAAAGATTATTATTTTATTTCAGATAATTTTTTCACGTAACCCGCCAACTAATTGTTTATGAGAACGACTGACGTATATAATTATTATAATCTATAATTAAATATTCTCATTTCAGTTTTAATCACCGTTATGGGCCCTTTTGAATTAATAGGATCTTAAATGCTGTACAGTATAGTGATTGACTGTAAACTTGGCTGCTTTAGATTAATGTTTAAATTAAAAAATAAATTTTAGTAACTGCAATCAAATCTTTCTAGTATAATACTAATGAGATGAGGTGCTCAGATGTGATCTTCCTATTAGTAAACTTGCTAATTGTTTTTGTACTTTCTATTGTATTATCCATCTACTTTTCATATTACTGTACTCGATCCTCTTACGGTAATTAAATGAGGGGATTATAACATTCCTATAAAGCTTTATGATAGGCAATACTACCTATATACTTTCTCTTCAAAATTTTAGAGTTTCTGCTAAATCGAAAGCCAGAAATATGTAATGGCAAACTTTCTTATTCCCAATAAAACTCATCTAAACGTTAGATTTGAATATATAGGCTAATATATGCCCTTTATTACATTCGTTATTAAGTGTCTCCATTTTAGATATCCACCATTGTTAATACAACGAAATTTTTTACCAATGATATGCTGTACTTTGTGCTTTATTTCGTTATATAACGTACCCCATAAATAATTGTAATGATAATGGATAATACTGAGTGACGGTTAAGTGTTAATCTAAAATGGCGCTGTGTCGATAAATGCAATACGCGTAAAAGTATTTCTACCTTGGAAAATTGGCTAACAGTTTATCACAGTTAAATATAGTTTTTATTTTATTTTTTTTAGCATATCATGATGTCCAATTTATCTAATACCAACTATGGTAATGGCACTATGAAAGAAGCTTCTGGAGTTTTCAATACCATTAAGAATAATCAATCCTCTACTAGAACTTCACAAAAATTCTCATTAAATTCAGTAGCAAGTTTTAACGCATTAGAATGGGATGAAAACGGCTTTGCAAAGGTTTCTGGATCCAATCTATATTTCCAACGTACTGCTGATGGTATTAAAATTGTGAGTACTGTTGAAACTGACGATGGAAGAAGATTTGTGTGGAGTACTACTGCCGATTCCAAAAATCTTGATAATAAAAAATCTTTTCAAGGTAGACAAACCAAATATTATCAAATTTTCACTATTGGATAAGTAAAACATTATTAGATCGATATCAATGTAAATAAAAATCAGTAATCTTATAGATGCATTTAGTGACGTTGAAAACTGAAATTTTTATCACATCCCTTTCTTATTTATTGAATTAATAAACTATTTTTGTAGATGAAATTAGGGATAACAAAAATAGTTCCAAGAGTGCACACAATCAAAGCGATTCTGGTATCCTTTGTTGTATCAATTGCGGCAAATATGGTGTATCTAGCAATTTTACTGCGTCTGGTCGATTCTGTAGTCGGCAGTGTGCCGGTATGTACGCTGGAAAGCGCAAGTATTTGTTGAAGGATCAAAACCCGTCAAAGGCAAAGAAAGTTCATTCTGAACTTAAACGTGATGATTTACCTGATTGGCATAATAATAGTGCAAAAGATGAGGAACGACCACCTTCCAATGGTGCAATATCAACTAGGCTGCAAAATCGACAAGTAGTGCTGAAAAAAGTATATAGATTGATAAAAATAGTTATACACTTATTTAATATCGTATTAGAATGAATTAAACAAACTATTGATAAAAGTTGGTGTGGCTATTTAATTTAGACAAATCAGAGAAAATATGGCTGATCATAGAGTTTAAAACAATAAATATTTCTACTTGATTATACAGAGCCCAAAGTCTCAGATGAAAGTAAAAAGTCTTGCACCGGCAGGTTTGTCATATTTGATAAAAAACGATCTATTGGCAAATTCTATCAGTAATTAATTTCTGATTGTTGATATTTTATTGTAAATACATAGAAAAAAGCATTAATAGTATTTATGACTACCTTTTAGACAAACTGGAAAATCGTCATTTCGATTGGCCGAATTATTTAGCTGAAACAAAATCTGATATCGTTCCTGCAGAGTGCTTTGTTAATGCTTTACCACCCTTATCGAAGCGTGCATTTGAAATAGGTATGAAATTAGAAGCAGTTAGTATCAGACAACCCGATATTATCATTGTCGCAACAATCATCAAAATTCAAGGCTACAGGATGTTACTGCACCCGGATGGTTGGCCAGATGATTTTGATTTTTGGGTTAGTATGGATTCACCAGACATACATCCAGTTGGTTGGTGTTCAAGGAATAAATATCCTCTAAATCCACCCCCACGTATGTCTACTCTGTCGACCTAGAATACTCATCATTTTTGGATTTTTAGTTCAGCATATATTATCAAACTTATTTTTATATAACTATCCCTAGATATTCCTGATGAGAGATTTAATTGGGAAACTTACCTTAAGGCACAACATGCTAAACCCGCTTTAGATCATTTATTTAAATTGGTAATTATCTATTAAACTAATGCTGTATCGCTATTTTTATTTTAAGAGTATACAGATATTATTAATATTTTGGTAATGGTTAATTTTGTAATATAAAAAGGTAAAACCAGCCAGACATTCGTTTCGTATTGGTACTAAACTGGAAGCTGTGGATCGCCAAAACCCAGAATTAATTTGCGTTTCTACGATATCGGCATTACGTGGTGATCGATTTTTAGTACATTTTGATGGATGGGGTGAATCTTTCGATTACTGGTGCGATGAAACTTGTCCTTATATCCATCATATTGGTTGGTGTGAAGAAAATCACAAGACACTGATACCGCCAAATGGTAATATATAATTTTAGTCAGTTATTGCTTTAGTAGTGTAACCTAATACTTGCATTTATACGCTATAATAAAGGTCACTATACACCTGATATTTAGAATATTCTTGACATTATAGGATATCAACAGCCTTTTAATTGGAAGAGGTACTTATCGAAGTGTAATAATGCCCACATTTCGACAGCTGACATATTCAAACCGGTAATATATTTAGTAAGTAATTGGAGTGTATATAGATTGCGAAATTTTAATTTTCAGTTATCCTGTATTCTAGCAACGCCGTAGACGCATGGAAGCCGGAAAAAAATTCGAAGCAGTTCATCCTCTAAATCCTGCTGTTATTGGAGTTTGTACAGTAATTAGTGCCGATGAAGATGTTGTAAACTTTCGATTTGATGGCTCTGACGAGATTTTTACAGTTATGGTAGATTCTACTGAAATCTTTCCGGCTGGCTATTGCAAAGCTACTGATCATCCATTGACATTTCCGAAGACGTAAGACAATTGACGATTTATACCTTGAGGCGATGTATTTACCAAGCTGTAAGATTTTGGTACTAGACGTAAATCGCAGCGATTAAAATTTATTTCTATTCAATGTAGGAAAAAATTAAATTCAATAACTGATAGAAGATGGTCAACCAATAGCATACAACAGAACAGCACGAAGCTAGAAATACGTGATAAAAGTAATAGCATATGAGACAGATTTCAACAGTAATATCTTTTATATAAGGACGAAGCGATACGACATTAGCGTTCTCTTTTTATATATCATATTATAGAATTAGCACAAAATCATAAAGTTAATTCGGCAGATATGAAATCACTTTCTACAGGTCCAAAACCTAAAGCACTATCTGGTCGTGGCTCTAACGGTATTGCAGAATTGCACTCCTATCCATCAACGGTGATCACAAAAAATTGTGCTAAGAGCAATCCCGAAGGCGTCCCACGATCTGCGAATTATCCTATTACAAGCTATAGTAAATCAGAAATGTCGCCAACTAACGTTAATGTAAGTCGATTTACATTGCTAAGACATACGGCTTAAGTTCCTAAAAGTAGGATACATTTTTATAGGGCGGTACTATAACAAATTTACCTCGAATGGAAGAGGTACTGAACTGGGGTGTTACTGATCTTATGAAATATATTATTGCGATTGGTTGCGGAGAAGAAGCAACTATCTTTGCAAGAGAGGTTATTACCAGTTCAATATCACTGACTTCCTTTAACGCTCTTATTAGGTATTGTTTAATGTTGAGCTATCGTGTCTATTTTTCTAGTTAATTGATGGGGAATCCTTTTTGTTAATGACACAGCAAGATATGACTGAGCATCTACAATTTAAACTTGGACCAGCATTGAAACTATTTTATCATATCAGTTCTATAAAATCCAACTAAGCTTAAATGAAATACTATAAACGTTCTTTTTTCTGTTAATTTAATGATATATGATACAGTACTAGAAGAATACCTGAAGCATATTGTAATAATTCAGTTCTTTCTCTCAAATATCGTTCAAATTGATTAAAAAATGTTCACATTGGAGTATCTGTGCTATTATTAAGAAATAAACTGTTCACTTATAGTATTTTTTAACGGTTTCCGGTCTAGCTAACAGGATAATTTTCTTTTAGTCATGGGCCGCACTTATTCGTATGATTAAATATTAAGTCAATCTATCAATGAGTTATCTTGGATATACGTTCTTCTTATCTGAATTCATCGAAACTGCTCATGTCAATGCAAAAGTGTCTAATTTTTGTCTATGCTGTACTTACAGCATTACTCGTACGACTGACTGGACTGATAAAGTACTTCGTATAAACTCATTTTCAAAATAACCGGATATTGAACCCTGACGATTAAATATTGTTGTGACATATTTTTTAGTTCAACCCTGAATTCACGATAATACGTTCATAAGTATCTATGAATACTTAAAACAAAATATAACTTTACGTGCTAATACTGTTGATTGCAGATGGTCCAATATCACGATACTAGATGTAAACATAACCATCTTAGAATTTTAACAATTCCCTAAATTAATAATCTTACAGATGATACTTATTGTAGCAATAATATAATGGGCTATGATCTAAGCTAGTTCGCTACATAGTGCCCTAGTTGTCTGGAAATTTAAGGCTTAATTCATAAAATGATACCTAGAACTGCTTCAAATTTAAGTAGGACTAACAAACTATACTTTATACAGGAGTATTTACAGTCTTGTTAGCTGATTCGAAAGTTAATCAACTAATACGAGTAATTTGACGAATTTGTCTTAGCAATTCGCACTTAAAATTCATGTATTGCTGCATATATCTAGAACTTAGTGCAGTAATATAAATAAATAAATCACAATAAGTGAATGAAACGATCAGAATAGTAATCTTAACACTTCATCAGATTTATTAATCATAAAAGGGCTACATTGCAAAACAATTGTATACTTAACCATTTGAATCGATTTTGTTTAACGTAGAATAAATTGAGTCAGTGTTTACTAGTCCATATGCTATATCAAGGAAGGATATTATATACTATCTGTAAATCTGCATTAGCTGCCAATGAAATATATTTCAGTATTGCTATACGGTGAAAGATGAATAGGATGCACAGATGCTATTAATGGAATTGAAGAAATCATAAATAGATATAGAGCATTCAATCACATGTCCGAATTGCTATGAGTTTATACCAAATAGAATTGTAGTAGTGATCATTAAAAGTTTTTGTTTATCCTCCTTATACATAGAGTAGAGTGTGTTCGAATTTGTACAAAAATTTTACTATATTTTCGCATCATTTCTTGCTACAATTTCAGTCTTAAAAGTTTCGAATTAATGGTACGGATGAAAAACTTTACGCTAATTGTATTTAGGAAGTATTTCTACTTAAATCCTTTCTCTGTGAGAATACCGTCAAAATATTCAGTGTAATTTAAAGTTCAAGTTACTATAGAGCTAGATGCACCGGTTTACTATTGGAAGGTGAAATATATTCCTTCGCAATAATAGAAGCGTATATACTCTTATACCCATAAATTTATATATTTATGAGGTCTATATACATACAGTATATACTTATACTCTATATACAAAATCAAAGTATAATACAGTAGATATAAAAAAACTGTACATTATTTCGGTGGTTGGAGTAGAAAATTTAAAATTTGCGATTACTACCGCCGTACCTATAAATTAGATAAAGGTAAAATGTTATAATTATCCTTTTAACTATTTTTTATAGCCAAAATCTTTAAAAAATTATGTTGAACTTACTTTGAAGACCAATCCGTTCTAGCAATAGGATTGACCTTTTGTGCAGCCTTAACAGTATTATTTTGTAAACCAGGCATGAATTGTGATGTATTATTATTATAAGATGCTTTCCACCCAGCATAGCTGCCTTTATTACTATTATTTTTACTAGCGCCAAAGGAAGGTATGTAATTATTAGAATCATCACCGAATTCATCTAGGTCTGGTCCACCACGTTTTCTGTTATAATCTAAATAAAGATGTCGAAGAAAATTGTATTATATAAAATGTTAAAGTCACTCAAAGTAATTAATTTATCTGTAGATGATCTAAATTGAAAATTAATTTTTTACCTGTCGGTTTATGATGGCTTTTAATCTCTGTAGCGAAATCACTACTTTTTTTATGAGAGCTTCCAGTTTTTTTCGGGTAATAACGAGAATTTTGGAGATATCGTTGAGCAGGAGATGTTGGAATTGTGTCCATGATATCCGGCGATGCCGATATTCCGTTGATTTTAGGTGAGTATTCTCGGTTAGCTATATTGGCACTAAATAAATGAAATATCAGAGGTTAGAAATCTGGGAAATTATCCATATCAGTTACAAAAGCAATTTAAATATTATTGCTATCATATTACTTTTCTCGCCAATCTGGCAGTTTTTTGTTACTATTTTGTCTTCGAGGTGCAACCTAATAATGATTTAAAATATAATCCGCTTTAGATATTCACTTTTCAGAGCATATTATTATGTCTACGCTTATATTTAAATCTCTTCGTTATTGATTGACTATATCACTTACTTTCTTGCGTTTTTTATCGTCGAAATCGTCTAATTCGTCTAGAACTGCATCAAATTCTAGAGTATCCATTAGATCCTCTGCTTTCTTTTTAGAATTATTATTAGTTTTTGTATCTGTTGGCTTTTTCCCATCTAGGTATGAGTCGAAATCGATTGTATCTAATAACTTGTCTTTTGATTTATTGGTGGTATTTTTAACTTGCTGCATAGGTTTAGGTTCAACCTTTGGAGGGGAATCTTTAGGAAATGCTTCTGTCTCAGTTTTTGTAAGCTTTTTATCATCTTCCGTGAATGTATCTAGCTGCTGAAACTTTTGCTGCTGAGGTTGCTGCAACTTTTGAATGTCAATACCAACTTGAAAATATGGAAATCTTAAGGCCTAAGCATGAATGCGAATATAGTATTTAATTTAAAATTTAATTCAAATAATGATAAAATTAAAAATTAAGAGGTACTTTCATAACAGGATTAATATGTTAAATATTTCATTCTTATGTATGATTAGTAATTGAAATTAGAATTACCTGGCCAGCAGTTGGCCGTTTATCGGGATTCCAATTGAGTAATTCTCGAATTAAATGTAGACCCTCAGGACTTGCATTAGGAATGATATTTTTAAGTGGTGTCTGTACCTATTAACATTTTTAATTTGAAATAATTAATTTCTTTATTAAAATCATAGTGATTAGGAAAATATTAGAAATGATAGCGGCTCCCATTTACCAATTGTGGAAACTTAAAATTGATCGATGAAGCCAATTTATACCCTTCTGGCCAGTCCTCCTACGATATCGTATTAAGAAATACATTTATGTTTACAGTATTAACGCGAAGAAAACTTTTTAACTCTAAATTATTTTATTAATCTTGCTTTAACGTCATTAGGCTTACTATTTTAATTACATATGTCGTAAATAGTTACATTCTAAAAATGAAGCGTGAACAACGTTAATCATCAAGCTATATGTAATATTTACCTTCGATGGGGTACCCAGTACAGTACATATTTTAAATATTTCATCTACTTCAGAGGTACCAGGATATAGTGGACGTAATGTATACATTTCTGCCATAATACAACCGAGGGCCCACATATCTATCGGAGAACTATAGTTGGTCGAATGTAAAAGAACTTCAGGAGCCCGGTACCAACGAGTCGAGACGTAATCAGTGTAGGGTGGCCGCGATCGCGTCTCCCTTGCTAAACCGAAATCGGCAATTTTAATAATTTCTGAACCAGTACAAAGTAAATTTTCAGGTTTCATGTCACGGTGAAAGAATCCTACATTAAAAGGAAGTAAAGAACATTATGTAACTAGGATTAATTGGCTCGCGATCGAAAAAAGGATATTAAAAATAGTGGAGAAATTTTTAAGTCAATAACGGTCAATAGTATCGTATATTCTATTAATTTTTGCTTAATAATGGAGTAATTTCTAATATACCTTGTTTGTGCATGAAGGCTAGACCTTGCAAAATTTGATATGAAATGTTACGAATAACGCGTTCTGGAAATAGTTTATCTCTATTGATGGATAAAAATTAGGTACATGTAGAATTATGCTGATAAGGTAACAATGAATAGTTATGGTTAAAGTTATACGCCTATATCGTCAGTTAAAGAAGATTGCTATCTAAATAGCCAATATCTAAAATGATAAAATGAAGTGTAAGCTTACCTTTTCTTCATAAGTTGGTACAAATTTTCTTTCATATACTCAAAAACGAAATATAAATGATCACTTTCTCGTATAACTTCTTTTAAGCGTACAACATTAGTATGATTGAGCTTCCGTAATGACTGTCAGAGAAACAGAGATTGAAATAAACAATATTAACTCTTTCATTTTACCTTAATGACAAATAGTTGTGATAAATTAATGAAGCATATCGTTACTTGTCCAGAAATTATTTGTTTATACGCGAAACGAAATTTAAGACAGCAGTCACCAATTCAAATATTCTATTAAGTGTAATGCATTTAGCCCTATTTATTTCAATCTATCTGTATTTACATATAATTGACTAATACTTACTAAAATCATCGCTCATTTTAAAGGTATTATTTAAAAGCAGGCATGACTAAATATGTACTATTCCTAGTTTACGATGTATGTAGTCGATTTGTTCTGCTCCGTTTGTCAATCTATCTAAGCTAACCTCGCAACCTACTGTTATTTTAGCCTATTTAACAAGGCATTTAGTCAAATCGAGATTAACGAAAGGCATTCTATCCTAATTCATGTAATGAATTAATTACGCTCCATTTTTCAATAAATCTGTCTATTAAGATATTACAGATCAACATGTTGATTTACTATAATTTTAATATATTTGATAGTATTCTATCTTAAGCTACGGATTATTTTAAAACACTGGCATTCTCTAGCCTAGTTTGTGTAGTTAATTTATTCTACTATATCTAGTAGCGCTTTTTATATTTGAAATAAACCAGCAATATCATTTGAGACAAGAGCGAAAGAAATTGTATAAGTTTTTCAAGTAATACATATGCTATACTTGTGAGAGAATCATGAAGAAGTTATGTCTTATACTATCGTTATTGACTACTATACAATTTCACGGGATATTACATATGCGTTGTCTGACTATAGAGCCAACTGTTGTTTATGCTTTATTTTAGTATAATTCAGACAATATCATTTATTAAATATAACTATTATATCCATTTAATTTTATAATGTTAGAAAGGAAAGCATGAATTAATCACTACCGATTTATACAAGGATTTATTTGCTAAGCTATTCTACCTTGACTTCTCTCAAGTTCATACATTCTTCCCAAGAGTAATATTTTCTCTTCATTCTATCAATAATCAAAGAAGTTTATGAGAAATAGATAGAATTGAACATGAACATTTCGACTGATTTAAAGTTTTCTTGCCTCCATGAATTACAAAAATAATATGATCAATAATTCGAGACAGATGACTTACCTACCTTATCATCGTTACAAAAGTGTAAAATTCTAATTTAATAAGCTATAAAGTAATAATAACTAATGTAATAATGACTTACTTCTTAATAGCAACAGTTTCTCCTGTATCGTAATTTCTGGCCAATACTACTGAGCCATAAGTACCATCGCCTAATTGTTTTATACTTTGGTAACGATTCATGCTGAGGACTGTAAGGATAATCCAATTACCGCAACCCAAATTCCAAATCAACGAATAACCACAATAATTTGTATACTATCTGAATATCTACAAGTATAAAATAGTAATAATATTAGGGCGAGTCCTTGACTGAATCCAGGAAAAGTAAAGGTTACAATTTTTTCACTATTTACTTTCCAATCTTCACTTGATTCTCTTTAACCCACCATAGAGCTTTTACTTTATCAATCTGTTCCAGTAATGTCCTATTTTTTAGCTAGTTCATAGGTAGAAGCTAAAAGATGACTATTTTCTATCAAAATCTATCATTAGGAGAGCGAAAGAAAGAATATCACGGTTAAAGAGCGAATTCCATTGAGAATACTACTAAACAGATCTGACAAGCTATTAATGCTTAGTTTATTGTTGATCGTAATTATTATTACAGTATGAATCATAAAATTAATTTTAATATTAATTGAGTAAATTGACAATGCGATATCAAATATGTATTTCTTGCATTATTTTATTGGTGCCTAGTGGATCTTAAATTAAATAAGAATCATGATGTTCTTCATCTCCATAAGCTACAATATAATCAAGTGCCCCAAAATAATCTACACTTATACCATAGTAAAAAAGGAAAGCCGCCTAGATAATTCATTGAGGCTATCTTTTTACGCAATTGATTCTATTTCTACCGATTTAGAAGTGATCATAGCATTCTATGATTACATTCAATGTCGGATTTGTCAATTTGTAACTACTAAGATTAAGATCATAGCTATCAAGAGGGGAGCAAGGGTAGATATCGTTGATTTACTGCGTAGGAAATTATGTCATCATTCCAATAGTTATCTTTGCAATAGCCGTATTAACCTTTAAATCAATTACAATGACTATCTCGATAATGTCAATTGAAAACACGGTAGTACCTTACGATCACATTACTAATTAAAAATGAGCAAAAGTATTCTATTTTCAGTCAACTTATAACAAAGACATCAATTTGAATTTAGTTTACATGAGGACAGGTAAGATATCGGTAATATTAACCATTTAAAAGCAAAAATGTTGGTAGTACCAGTACTTAGTTATTTCCGTAGCGTAGGTTTAAAATTGTGATCAAAGTTAACTGTCACTACACCCTCAAGGTATAGTAAAATTAATTGATCTTCATGAAGACGAATTATAATAAGAACGGTCGGTAATGATGACTGTAAAATAAAAATTTTTCATCTAGATGATCCGTAATGATCGTAAAATAGGAACAGAAAGTCTAGTAGATTAAATTGAATCGTTTCGTTCACAGCATGGTTAGCATACGGTTAACAAATACGTTAATAATGTAGATAAATCTCGATCTTTATACCTAGAAATCAAACTTAGGAAAATTTATCACCATGAAAAACTGATGAAATTAAAAGTAAAATTTCGTAGCCCTATCTATTTATATTCCAACTTTCGAAAGGAAATACCAAAAGCAACTACACTACAAAGGCAAATTGATATCGAAATTTAGCAGACATTTATCATAGGTATAATAAATAGCCTTTAAGATTTCTAGAAGGGAAAGTATCTATCGTGCGCAGAAAAATAAAATAACGAAAATGATAGCGAGCTGTCGTTGCTTTAGATAGATAGGTGAGAAGATCATTACATTGTGTTGGTTATTATAAAATACAGCCTTGACTGATATGTTAGCCATCTAATCAAATCAATATGAGCAACATCATGGAGATGATCAAATAGAGCACTCTAGTAAGATTTTTGGCATCCGTCGCGACAGATTAGTTGAAAAAATTTCAATTCGAAGACTGAAGTAGGACGGTAATAATACTATATTTAGTCTTGCTACGCGATCGAAGTGATTAACTCAGGAGTACTATAAAAAATACTCTTTTAAAAAGATATCTTCATGTTAAAAATCGAATCACAAGTAGAATTTTCTATGTAAGTTGTAATTTACTACATATAGGAGATGAAATAAATATTCAACTAGGATTTTCAAAATGGATAGTGAGAAATAAGTTGAAAATTTTTACTGAATGTTCAAATATATAAGTTCTATCTTCTCTTGTTGGGGGTATTGATGTGAATAATATAGAAATAGGATCGATAAAACTTTAGAAGTTGAATATATTTTGTTCTTAAAATCAATGTAGAACTTTCGATATAAATTACGATAGATCGCTTGAAAAATTTCGATTAGAGGATCAAACATCTATTCCATATCTTACCTTGCGACGAAATTAATACAATTATTTGGGAAATAACGGAAGAGCAACTTTTAAAGTTGGATATTTTGATTTTATAATTCAATTCTATCGATTTAGCGTTATTTTTCCGTTCTTTTTGCCTCTACACTATCGATAACAGTAAACTTGAGTCAAATTGCCTACCTTGAACAACCCGTCGATACTAAGGAAGATTAATCAATTTGATCATATAGTTTAGATCAAGTCTTTTATCTAACTACAACTACCCAACCAGAGGTTGGAATCAAGGCCTTTCTATAATGCTAAATGGCGCAATCATCATTTCGGCTAGTTGCCAATCAACATTGTCCATTCCATCCCACAATGCACTGGTTTATGCAGTTGCTTAGCAACGTGGATTTTGTTTGTATGCAATGAAGGTGGCAAGGTTGCTTATAAATGGTGCTAATCGTAACTTGATAGTAACGGTCATAATAATTCACTATTTTACCTTAGACTGAATATTGGATCATCATAGTAGTGCAGTAGTAACAATTGATGGTAATGATTGGTAAGCCCATAGTTTGCTTGTTTTAATTCACACCTTAACAGATTCTCGTTTTACCCGTTTCCCATTTCCCTTACTATGTTATTATCATTCTTTAAATCGGAATATTTACATGTATGCATGTAAAATTATTTTAGATTTTAGAATTAGTCAATTTTGCATATAGCAATCATTAATTTTATAAATTCTGTATAAAATGATCAAACCTAGAACCCAACTATGGGGACATACAAAATGATCGAGATGATCAAGATAAAATTACGACCATTCAATAAATTGATTATGAATATCAATTAGCCAGTTTAGTGCTCTAGCTTGGCTTAGAGTATTATTCATTTCCTAATTGTAGTAAATTTGACTGCAGCATAATTGGCACTGAAGCATAAAGATCAGATCAATCCTTATCTTTCTGCTTTCCTTTTACCTAGACAAGATAGCAATATTTCATAGCATAGATTACTAAGTATTGTAAATTACATAGAAAGTCACGAAAATTAGGAGATACGTATCACTTATTCCTCTTTATGGTAAAACTGACTACATTCGTGGGAGATGTTGTAACTAAATGATATCGCGCTATTTTCAAGCTATTTTCTTCTAAACTAGATAAGCATGACAATGTTTGATGAGTAATATCCCCACTTTTTTTAGATTATTCTGTAGAGAAATAGCTAGAAATTTTATATTCTTTATTAAAAGAAATCTAGACTATTACATATAAGAGATTGCAGCAGAAGGATATAGATCAGTTTCTAGCTGCTTTCCATTTAAGCAAGGCCTTACCATAATAACTGATGAATTGTATAGAAGTCGTCAACATTAAGGTATCATTAGTTATTATCGTAGCTAAGCAGCTAATTAGAAATTATAATATTCTATCGTCTTCCAACAAACAAATTATCGAAATATCGAATGTATCTATTTCTAAGTAAGATACAAGCCATTTATAATACTACTGTGCTCAGATTAATTATATCTTATAGCTTAAACCTTAAATATTTATATCTACACTAAATTAAATGATCAGCTATTAAGATATCATTTTTTTATAGAAGACGTAAATTTATTTTTATCTAGTTCTATTTTAATAATATAGGTTGAGTTCAGACCTGATCGAAATTTAATGCATGAAAAAATATTACGTTGATCACTGTACTGGAGAACGTAAAATAAAGATTTCTTGACGATGGTATTAAATTAATGATAAATACAACGATAATAAGAGGTAGCAACATATATTTTTCATTAAACATATAGCCTGAGCTTTAAACATATAGCCTGTTCTTTATCAGGAATAAATATGTATCAGAATGCCAGCCATAGTATCTATATTAATACTTGGAACTATTACAATTCAATCGTGTCATTGTTATGAAAGGTACCAAGGTTTTCTGATGATGCGACTATGATATTGTACAGCTAATAAAAACTATTCTTATTAAACAAACACACTCATGATGAATAACCGCATGATCAGAAATAGTTCAAAATTATGACGTTATAATTGTAATGTATATTGTGTCTCAGTTTAGAAAAAATTTAAATATAATCTTATAATTATATAATTATTCATCCGTAAACTTTGAACAATGCAGAATAAATAGATGTGTGCATTACAACATACGATATAGATTCACATAAATAATAACTGACGTGAAATTGATCGAGGTTTGATTGACCTTAATCACGTTAATCGTTTTCATTACATAACAGTGATCAAGTTGAAACTAACTATGATAGGCTAATTATATCTAATCAACTACAAAGCGATTCAATATTTATATCTTTTGGTACGTGTTAGGGTAATGGTAATGGTAAAATATGGTAAAATTTTGTATAATTTCAAATTATACGCATATCTGTCTTTACGTTTACGTTCTGTTATGATTTTATCTATGTTATGTAATTTAAATTAGGCTCGGAAATTACAATAAGGATGAAGAAGATTAATATTTTAATAATATTTCCCTTAAAATCTATATTGTAAAGATTGAAATAAATTTTAATTTTCCTGTTAAATCAGTTTTTTAAGGATACTGCCTTCGTTGCAATCTTCAATGAGTATTTCAACTAATAATGCAAAATAATAGAATGATACTGCTGTATTAGGGCAAAGGTAGGATTCAAATAGCTGTGCTTGAAACCGAACATGGCTTATATATAAAAATGGACCACGACAATTCGTAGTGAATATTATGTCACGAACAATCATTTACTAAATATTTGAACCAGAGAAATGCATTGATGCTGATAACGGTTATTGCATACATTATTTATGGTACGTATTGCGATACTAGCTAGTCAGGAGTGTATTCTTAATAATTATTACAAGTAAATATTTCAACTTATGAAATAAATCGATGCTAAGAGTGTAGCCTAAATTATTTCTCTTAAAATCAAGTAGGGTTAAATGTGTGAAATAGATTTCGCTGATGCGTAGTAATAAGTATGTCTTAAAAAACGAGTCAATAAATAAATCTTTTAACTGATAAAAATAGATCAATGGTGTTATATTAAGGGTGCATTTATCTAAAATACTTTACTAAAAGTGAATACGATTTATAGGAACCGTTTGTCGCATCCTATAGTTAATAGCGCATAATAAGAATAACTACAGAAATTATATTTAGTATTTCTCGTTGTCTTACTACCAAAATGGTGCTACGGCAATGTTGGCAGTAGCTGAGCCAGTATTTAGAATTTTAAATATATGATTCATACTTGCATATAAAATACATTACTGGAAACGATAGTTTTAGAAATATATCCGCTATCATTAAGAAATAAATCATTAAATATTTTTATAACGCTTGTTAAATATCAGCGTGATGATTATCGACAATAATTAGGAAGGTATTTAGAATGTCATTAATATTAAAACAAATAACTTCAAGGACAGATACTATAATATATGTGTAATCAGTGTATGTGTAAGCAAAATGGTCCTGATATCATTGTGTCTACAAAATAAAATATGTTCATTTATTGGTATCATTGCTTTAGAAAATTACTTATGAGAAAGAATGGACGAAGAGTTGAGTGATTTTAATATCTCAATTAGTAACCATGGTAATAAAAAGTTGACATAGTTAGGTAAGAATACATAATATCTTTAAGTAAATATAATTTATTTCAACTAGTATAGAAGTTAAGTTTGTGACAAAAAACTCTCGTCATATTGCCGTTTTTGTTAAGGAATAATCCAGAGTGGTATAGGTATCAAATTTCGATGATAATCACTTTCTATATATAAGACGAAATATCATTTATGATATAAATTTACAATACCAGTAGGATAAAGAATTGGAGATTCGTCAAGTTTTAAATGAATCAAGAACTCATTTGCTGTACAATTAGCCGATCAGAAATAATTTATGAGATTAATTATTGGCGCTATTACATCTCACGAACAATTGGATACTCCGCATAAAGAATGTTACAGAACTTTTAGCGAAGGAACCGTAAATAATGTACGAGTATATAATGAATCACAGAGCTCTCGATTTTACAATATCTTTACGGAAAAATGGTTAAAATTACTTCATATATGTTTAAACGAAATCATTGATCTAATGATACTTGTATTAGTTTTTCATCTATAAATGTCACTCTAGAGTTTTCTAGATAAACATTGATTTAACGATATGAGATGTTGGTATTTACCAGCTTTAGCTACAGTGTGCTTAATTTGAAAATGTTTTGAAATATGATGAAGCTATTAGTATATTTACGATCTAATCAGACTTGGTATATTTTGGATAGCCGTATAGAAGAATATCTTTTAATTGAAGGTAGCCTTATTTTAAAGTAATCATAGGAGACTTAATTAAAACTATACATATGAGAACGAATCAAATATCTATTGTCGTAGATACTGGAATACAGACTGGAGAGCAATATTGAAAATACGACTTTATGTCGGCAATAATCTGTATGTTAATGCGAATAATAAAGCACTTTCATAGGAGTAAAGTTGTTGTCGAGAAGGTAAGGTATAAAGTAGCTCCGAAATAGATTAAGCCTATAGGATAGATTATAAGATTATTAAAGTGTCTCATTGCCGAAGATGCCGACAGTATGCAATTTGAAATATCTTCACTCAAAGATAGGCGCAGAGAGCTCCTACCAGTAGATCTAATTCTTGTATTAAAGTGAAGTTAATAAGAAACCAAAGTTCTTGTCATGATATTCTTGAATCACGTTATTATAAATACTAGCCTATATCATGGCAAAAATTCCAATGAAAGTTGCATCAATTTTATTATTAACCAGTAGCATTCCATAAATATTGCAATTTTGTTATCATGTCGAACCATTTGATTTTAGACTTAGGTATAAAGACGTACTTACTTTTTTATACAATAATAAAGAGTTCGGTCATACTACTTTATACTTTGCATAGATCATGACAGAAAATTCTATAAAAGTTGCATCAATTTACTATAAAACAGTAGCATTGCGTAGATATTGCAACTTTGTCATCGTGTCAGATCATTCGATTTTAGGCCTACATAGAGAGACATACTTACTTGTTATACAATAGCAAGAAACTAATCATACTGCTGCATACTTTGCATATATCATGGCAGAAAATTCTATAAAAGTTGCATCAATTTTTACTATTAGCCGGAAGTATTATATAGAAATTACAATTTCGTTATCGTATTGGACAATTCGATTTTAGACCTAGGTATAAAGATGTACTTGCTCTTTGCTGTATACAATAAGAAGAAACTAGTCATACTTTACTGTAAGCTATGTTACCCAATTAATTATTACTTGACAGGATTATAGTCAATACAGGTAGCACATGAGTTTCTGCCGATCGATAATAATTACAAAAGAATAAGTCTAGCAATAGACTGAAATAAAATGCATTTAAATTTTAATATCATTACTAATGCCACATGGATTTTTTCATCCCTCTTTCAGGTAAAGATCTTAACATGAAATGAGAACGTAGTGTACTTACAGAAATTTGGTTGCTTTCTTGTAACGAATTAATAAGAGTGATATTGATAGTATGGCTCATTGTATTCCTTATAAAACCTTTTGAACTCAATTAGAAGAAAAAATGACGAAGCTGCTTCATACGTCATGAACGAGAAAATTAATAACCATATGGTGAAATTTAGCTGAATATACTAACGCGCAAGACGATATAGTAACGGTTTTTACTGGTTACTTACAAATAGATTGCCGTCGATGTAGGTATCTTTATATATAGAAAATATCTATCTGTTTATGCTGGGTCTGGTATAGGACGATTACTTGAAAAGACTATGCTTTTCCATTCCGAAAGTTCGGCTAACCGATATCGAGTAGGGGAGTACTGACTATATTGGTAGGACAGAGTTGGGCTATTACTCGTCAAGCATATACAAGTTTTGTGGGCTGTAACAACGCTAAAAGAAAAAAGAAGCTGCTTATATAACCCTTCTTGCCACTATCTCTTAAAAGTTCAAGTTAACCTTGTGAACGTCATAGTTAGAAAGAACTATCTTCATATTTACCAAGGAATTGAAAATCTAGCCGTAGGAACAGATAGGATTACTCAGCCATGTCGAAAAAAACTTACGATCTCCTATTTAAAATATTATTGATTGGTGATAGCGGTGTTGGTAAAACATGCATCCTGTTTCGATTTTCTGATGATGCATTCAATACCACATTTATATCCACTATAGGTAAGCCTAGCACTACCATATGTTATAATAACCATGATGTACTAATATTGAATTTCACCCTTTTTGTGTTCGCTTGGAGACCTCTCTACCTTTCTAGCTGAATTCTACTTCTTAACCTCCCGCTATATCTTCCTTGAATCCATATATATCAAATTTATCCATCTTATTCTATTTCTGATGCAAACTGACATATCTTCTCAGTGCTTCTAGCTGAATATCCAGGATTTATGCCTGACTAATTAAAATTTGACCGATATTGATTATCGATTTCGTCTTTTTATCATCTATTTTAAGCTTCAGCTGATCAACTCCGTATATTACTTAAACAAAGTGTCAAACCAAACAAGGAATTAATCGATGCTCTACAAATCTTTTACTCTGTTTTAGTAAAATTTATTTCGTTCAATTGCATGTTAGATAACCATAGGGCTTCTCCTTCTATCGATTAATAAAGACTATAAAGTAGATGCTAATTTTGAGTTCATATATTTAGGCAATTGCTAGTTAGTTCAAATTTTATCTGATCAAAAAGGACCTTTTGCAATCATCATCCTTCGCGTAGGAAAGTGTTTAATGAAAATACGTTTTATAGATTTATTGCATGAATTCCTAGAGCAAATAGGAATTTCTTGTCTATGTTTAAGCTATTGCAAATATTCATATATCTTTATAATTTACTTTAAATTATAACATCAAGAGTTAGTAATACATGCAATACGGAGATACAATATGCACCTAGAAGATTAAATTTCTAGCGGAGGAAAAAGTTGTAACATTACAAGGCCCCTAACAGATTAGTTGTTTTGCTGTTCTTGCACGATACCTCAAGAAATCATAGATTGATTAACTTATAGTCTTAGCTATCTCTAATTTCTTTAGCAATATATTGCCAATCTATTTACAGGAGGAGGATTAGTTTGATATAACCGTTACACGAAGCATTGACATGTGGTCATTTCAGTAGAATTAGTGGGATTGTGCTAAATTAACCTTGTGGTTAAGATATCTACAGAGCAATATATTACAACAGTTATCGCCGTAACGTATACGAAGTGTCCAGGTAATCGTCTGGTTATAAGGAAAAAAATTAGTAAGGACGCAACTCACAATAAGAAATTTCGGCCTGGTGATTAATCGATCTTTAATATTACTTTACAATTGATGAAAAACCCCTCGTTGATCATCAAGCTACTTAGACGAAAATTTTTTAGCATTCAGTTCCCCATACGGTTCGCGATAAGAGAGTTCAATTCTTAGAACTTGATCGCAAATTCTATTTCCATACCTAAAGCAAATATAGTTGACTGCTATTAAATCCGATTATAAGATAAATTTAGTACAGTAATCGGTTCCCGATCTTACTTGCCATAAAATTTCCATCGGACGTGACCTTGATCAGTTTTTTATTCACAGGACTTATTTCTCTATCTAGTAGCTATTTTCACCATCAATATATGATAGTTATATTCACGAAAACTGATACATTTTATAACTCCAAATATGTTAAATCAAGCCACATTTGTATTTTCCGTTGATGTGGATATTGATTAAGTGTAATGATCTTTACTGTCATATCCCCAATTTTCTAAAGCGTCCGCATACGTTAAAAACTTATAATTTCTTGTTATTAATTAAGACATCTAACTATAGTATATCAGATCATATTAGATACGACAACTATTACAACTATGCTAGCTACTATAGTAGCTAATACTTAGGCAGTCTTAGAATAGTCAATATTTTACTTATTCGAAATTGTAAGTGAACGGCTAGAATGTTCATATCGAAATAAACAGAAAAGATTCTCATTCTTTAAAGATTTTGACAATCGCTTTAGAAGTTCGCAATTTCTAGAAATTTATTTACCGTAAATGTGAATACTAATGCCGGATTAAATAATGATCATTACAATAGGAATTGATTTTAAAATCAAAACGATTGAACTGCAAGGAAAAAAGATTAAATTACAAATATGGTAAGATTGGATAATTATTAAGTTATTGCATTTAGGCATATCATGAATTGATAATTTTAATGCCTATATAGAATTATATCTTTTTATAGTTAAGAGTATACTCTGCATAGGTTGGAAATCGACTCTATCTTTAGTTTATATGTCCGAGATACGTACTGATAATACTGTAATAATTTTATGTTTGATATAGTTTTTATGAAAAAATACCAGCTATAAATGAAATAATATTTGTTTTAAAACTACAAATCTTCTCTACATTTCATTATTTCGTCTATTTTTAGGGATACAGCTGGTCAGGAGAGATTTCATACGATTACTACATCCTATTACAGGGGTGCAATGGTAAGTCGGCGGTAGATTCTAATTTTTAGCTTCAAAGACTGTCGAACTTCTTGAAACATGCTATAGGTTTAAAAATTCATAGGTGGGGTTCTTTATTGCTACTTTAAAACTTTACTAGCCCATAAATTGCTGCATCTATTCACTAGATACTTTAAATTTTAATATTTAATCTCCTTACAACTTGCGCATCATAAGTATCCTTTATGATGCTAATACCTTAATAAAACCCAGGTGCCAACTTATAGCTATTTCCTTTTATTGATACTACTGGAGTTTATTACTTTACATGCCAATCTCTAAATTCGTCAAAAACCTAGTTCTTATACGACATTTCATCTTTTAGTATTGAATCAGCACTTATGATTAGTAATAGCTCTTGCAAAGGTAACTATTGCCAAAGATATAAAACTCTATATAGTCGTACTTTTACAATTTAATTCTAGTGTATGGCTGGTGATAATATTTAAAATGTCAATTTATAATTTCTTCTATCCCCCGTGATAATAATAGTAAAGCTAGTACATAAAAATATAGCTGAAAGTATAATTCTTCTGATAGAAATACCCAGTTATAGATATTAATTAAGCGTTGCGGTAATACCACAATTGCAAATGACAAATTATATGTCTACAACTATATAATAGGTGGACTAGATATAATAGTCTAGTTGATAGTATCATATCATCAAATGCTATAAACTACATTTTCTGTTTAAGATCACGTAAAATAGCTATTTGATAAATAAATAATTTGAAAGATACGTAAGTTCACTCTCGGATAATAAATAAGTAAACTGTTATAGCGAATCACTGCTTATCTACCTGAATATCGCCATAATAAATGTGAACTATTATAAATGTGCAGGGAATTATGCTGGTATATGATTTAACACAGAGAAAATCATTTGAAAATATCAATAAATGGATTCGCAATATCGATGAGGTATGGAGTAATTAACTTTAAAATAACCAGGATATCACAATATGTATCAATTATTTATAATGTTGCCGATAGCAACTAATTGTATGACGATGGGTATTACTATTAAAGTGATAATCAATTATAAAACGTTCAGAATCTACTACAATTTGATATTTAAAATTTTATCACCCAGCATGCTAGTAAAGACGTAGAAAAGATAATTTTAGGAAATAAAGTTGATGAAGCAGATAAGCGAGAAGTATTGAAATCTGAAGCAGAAGAGGTATCAATCTCTTATATTCGCCAAAAGGCAGCTTCGATATTTAGTGATATTGATATTTCTAATGCTGACAATGTTTTTCATTTTTAAGTTGGCCAGGATACACAGTATCCGATTTATGGAAACAAGTGCCAAAACAAATATTAATATCGATGCGGTAAGTATCAGGTTATCTAGCAATTGCATGCTTGCAATGTTTGCGTATATCTATACTTTCATTAATTCTATTTCAATTGCAAGAATTTACGAAGTATTTTCATCTTTTTTCATCCAGGCATTTCTTGGACTGGCCAATGACATATTAAATAAAGTACGCGTATACCCATACATTAATATTTTACATCAGTGATATAATCGTACACGGTGTGTAATTTCTGATAACTTATTATTTATTTGGATATTGTTATTTTAGATGCCAGGAAAACGATCACAAGCAAGTGAAACAATCTCTATTCAAAATCATTCCCGCCCTAATAGTAATCAGAAACGTGGCTGTTGTGGTAGCAGCTAAAGCAATCTCGATATATATACTTTTATAACCTACTCTCATAATGGCCATCTGAGAATTTTTTTCAAATCAATAATATTGCCTATGTGTATTAACCTATAGCCAATTTATAAAAGATATTTTATAAGTGCACAAGTGAAATAATCTGATATCAATCATGCAAGCATGATTTCAATCTCTTTATCGTTACCAAAATTGAATTATAATATTTACGTTAAATTGTATGTAGGTTTAAATGTTGTGGTTATAATCTAATGTATCTGTTCTGCTTTATGATATCTGTATAATTCAACTGTACGGTAGCTGAAAGAAATATTAGTTAATGTACGAACAAAAATGATTTTAGCATGCAAGTAATTCTATTATAAATGAATTAAGTTAATTTAAAAGAATCAAAAATAGTTTGTCATTTTCTGGGCTGGTATCATAGCACTAGCTGAAGAGCTATAGAAAGTAAGATTGATTTGTTTTATTTCAAGTTGATAGTTTTAGCTTGTTAACAATATTATTAACTAGTATTATTATACTTTATATTGTTATGTTTCTACTATGTGTTTGGTTTCTTATCTGGAATTATATCTTATTTTAAGTTAATTTACTACAGCATTACACCGTATTAGAATTCTCCATTAAATTCTACACCAAGCTAAGTCACTTTTAATTAGAATAGTTAGCTATATTACGGATCATAACTTCTCCAACTTTTCATATCTCTATCTGCTAAGCAATGATATCATGATATCATAATTTTCATGGAACAGTACCAATCTACGCAAATTGCAGAGTATAGTGTTTTTAGATATACGGATACGAGTTCAGTTGTAATAATAGCAAAAATAAGATTTTTCATAAGCAATCCTCGACGGACTGAGTGTTAACGTACCCAAAAAATAAATAAAATCTATCCTTTATTAGCTATTCCCGTAAGAAATTTCCTTTACTCAAAATAATGATGCGGAAATCTGATATTATTCTATGGTATTTCTTGTAATGCTAGTAATTTGAAAAAGTTACACCTTTACTAGTACTACAGTAGGTAGGTTATTTATACGGCACAGACTATTCTAGAACTTGTAAAAGATCAAAAGTAACATAATGAGTGAATATAACTTTATTAATCGAGTAGATTGCCAATTAAACATTAAGTATAACCCTAAAAATAATTTTACTTTGGAATAGGAAGTAATACGAGTATTTTGCGATTTGGTAAGCTGTAATTACTTTACTAAACTTAGATTATGACGAAGGATGCCTGACTAATACTGGTTGCATTCCTATCTACTACAGAGAAGGAGTCTTTTTCCTATTCTTTTGGGTGGAAGTAATTATTAGAGATTATGAAGAATGAATCTAAAATTCCGTTGCAATTTAGAACGTAGTCAATTTACGGTGTTTATATCTCATGAAGAAAATAAGGGGTAGGTGTAGATATATGTTATCTAACGTATTGACATGTGTAAAATAAATAAGGGTCTGAATAATTCATATAAGAATTCGTCATTCAAATTTAATCTAGCTACATTTAATCAAGTCACGTGGACTCTCATTGCAGTACACCAATGAGTGCTGCATCAAGTTAAAATATATATTTTAAACAGCTATTAATCCCGTAGGAGTAAGCTAATACTGTATAAATGTAACTGTTAATATTGTACAGACTACGTAATTCCAGGTCTCACTTAAAGTAAGTATGGAACTAATTGCCTGAACAACGAAAATTTACATAACAGAAAATTCTTCATCATGGAATTGCGTAGATTAGTGTAGATATGTCATAACATGGTATAGCGATACGAAATATATAAATATATGTATTATATATTACATCGTAAATCAACAGAACCAAGCACCTAATTCGCAGCAACTGCAATTTTCATAGCGTGGTACATTTGATATATAAAATTCGGGTATGTAGCGAAAATTGTACAATATAGTTCAATGGAATGATTAATAAAATGAGCTGCAAATTAAAAGGTGTTTTTATTTAAAGCAACATTTAATTTGAATAAGTCGTCATGAGAAGAAATATTCCAAAACGGTAGATTAAGAGTTCGACTAGCAGATTCTTCAGCTTTACCATCTCCAATAACAAAATATTGACAATTACGATAGCGCTCAATGATCCGACGAAAGCATTGTTCTTTGCCTAAGTGATATAAAGATAACGTTAATATGATAATTTCTAAGATGAATTATGCAAGAATCAACTGTTATTATAGTTACATAGCACTAACCAATATCTGTTGCACTATAGATATTCTCTAATGGAAAGAGATCAGCAATGGAATATAATAAACACTTTACAGCTGCAGGTACCAGTTGTGTTGTGGTTACAATAACGTTAACGCTATTAAATCTGGAATCAAGTTCAAAAATTGTAAATTGGTAATAGAAATATTTATCTTATTTCTACCTTCATCTCATTTCTTTGCCATTTTACCTCGAGTTGATAGAATCAATACAATTCCTTGCTAAATGTATCCATTTGTCCGTAAAAGATTGTAATTCATTGAGAGCTAACTCCCAATTACTATGGTAGTTCACAGATACCAATTCTGTGTATGAACAAAATAAGAGCTATGAAGATATACGTAAGAAAGGTAACTAGTTATATAGGCTGTAAACTATCGATAATACTGCACCAACCTTTCACATTATCGCGATATTTTTCATATATTTCCTTTATATCTTTAAAGTAGGTAGCAACTTTATCTTGTTGTAATGACGAGCAGAACTTGTCCCAATGATCGACCCTGTATTGCGTAAAATTATAAGGTGCAGTATGAACCGTAATGATAAAAAAAGGTAAGAAATGATGGTACATAATAATTTCTTACTTAGATTTTTGGTCACTATCTGGTTTCTTTCCGTAATCAATGTCATCAATGTGAGTTTTGTTACTTTTCTGAAAATGATAGGATAAAAATCGTTCTACCAATTTGAAAAGATTTTTTTTCTCGCTTGTAAATGGTTAATACTCCTACTTTATTAATAATAATTACGAGTAGGAAATCTTACCGCAAGTTCACGAAAATGAAATTTTGAATCAGCCAAATCAAATATTAAAGTTTCTATTTTATATCCCAAGCATATTGCCTGATTATAGTCCTAGCGCGAAGATACAGAATTAAGATCGTATGTTAAACTGATGATATTTAAGATTGTACAAAGTGACAGAACATGAACTTGATTCACTATAAGTAATAGATGACTTACTTTGCTAAATTTTCTGGCATAATCGCCATTCAACAAAGATTGAAACACGATAATAGTTTCATCCAAATCCCATATATAAACTTTCTAAGTATTTAAGAAGTGAACTTGTTTTCAACATTTTATCAAACCTATTTGTCATAGGGTTTATATTTAATTAAAATTAACCCTAAGACTACTAATCCTACTGTGAATGAAATGATAGTAAATCGTATAGCTAACTTACTTCAATCACTTTTTTATTAGTAACAGTAGGTGAGTGTAGTATGCGATTTGTCGTATTGCCAATCTGACACTTTGCATCATTTACAATTGTTCCATTAATACTTGTATTTTTGCTATCTGCTTCTGGCGATGAGGGTGGTGTAGAAGAAGTTGGTTGAGTAGGGGAATACTTTTGCTTTTCATTCGGTTCTGTCATAATAAAATTGTGGACTAGTTTAAGTTTTCGCCATAAGTACGTCATGGTCAGTATAAAAATATAGCGGCATTAAATTATTCTATGCCGAGATCGAAAAATTCTATAGCATAATTGCTCTAAAAGTTGCTCAGATTTGCTAACGACAGGGTATGACTAAAAAAGTTCTATTAGAGGGTTGTACAAAAGTGCTAACTATTGTATCTACCACTCTTGCATGTCCACACAATTTAAATTCGTGGGCAACCGATCATAAGCCTGTATGGAACGTGCTAGTCCATGCGAGAAAAAAAACTTTATTCCTTTACAACATTGATATATACAGTGTCAATAAATAAATAAGTGCATACGTAGATATTATAGCCAATATAATAATAATTTATTTGACGATGTGTAAAAATTGTATACCTTTAGAATCCACGTTATATTGTGAAGTTGCTTTACTTTGATCAGTCTTTTTCCAAGAAAATTTACCCCAGCTGCAATTGCTGCTTGCTGAAAACATACTGTTAGCAGCAATAGAGGAAGTATATGTATCGTTATCATGATTATTAGTTGATGGCAAAGTCGTCATACTATTCCACTGAATTGGTGTAATATTTTGATAGCATTTCTTGATCGCCCAATCATCATTTTTAATATTCAACCAATCATATTCGCGACTTTTATAATCAACTGCTTTTTCTGCATGATTTTTACGTGCGTCATGTCTAGACTTTTTTATCCCATCAGATCTATTATTTTGATTGCCACTAGCAGTAGATGATACACTAGAGAAAATAATAATAAAATAAGAATAATATTATTATTATTACTCTTATCTTGACTACGGTATCTAAGAATTTTATTCTTGACAATAAATTCTTGCAATGTACTTAATTTAATTATTATTGTTTAAAACACTTACGACAGTCGTATACATGGTAGATTATCTATAAACTTTTGCTTGTATACTGTACTGTAAACAGTTCCAATTGACATCACAACTGGTTTCTACTACAAATCGATAGGCTATCATACGCAAGAAAAGCATTCTACTCAGAAACTGAATAACAGCCATGATTATATCATCAATATATTACCTATCATTGTCATTTCTTCTTTTAAGTCCCTTATCCTAAGTGATTTAATTGAAAAATAATTTAGACAAAAAGTAAAATGTATTTTTTCCTTATTGTCAAGTAGTGATACATTAAGGAAAATAACACTATTTTTGGTAAGCCGCTGAAGAAGCTTGTGAAACGGTATAGTTTACACCTCTTAATGATTGTAATAGTTTACGAGCATCATCTTTGTATATATATATATATATATATATATATATACACAACAATATTAAGATCACTTGGTTTCACCTAAAGCTTCTTTAAAATCGATATCCTACTCTAATTAATTTTTATAACTGAAATGGAGTACAATTGAAATTGATCGTAGCGTTTTCTATTTATCGTTATTGCAATCATTTGCTATCTATATTTGCGTTTACTCCGTATGCTAATAAATTAGAATAATTAAAAACTAGTGAGCGGAAATAAAGTCGCTTATAGACAGTTTTTATAATAACGTTTGAAAGGAATGTCCAAGGGACTGCGATAAATAAGTTTGTTCCATATCCTACGCCTATGTGTAGTGAATAAACTAACCCATTCCAATTAAATTACTACAAATTCACAGCGTTGAGCATATCTGTCGTTAATGCGGTATTCTATGGATTACCATCACAATACATAACCTATAGGTTATGGCGGCTTGCAATAGGCGTTTGAATGAGTATTTGATCTATCGATTGCTCTATCAAATTATAGAAATGGATGATGAGAAACTATAATTTACTGTTGAACATTATGGCGGCTTGCAATAGGCGCTTGAATGAGCATTTGATCTATCGATTGCTCTATCAAATTATAGAAATGGATGATGAGAAACTACAATTTACTGTTGAAAGGTTTGTCTTTCTTTAGGATATTAAAATAATTCATAAAACAGGACAGGGATCGCTAGTAAGGAGAAAAAAAATGGCATTGCTACGAGGGTACTTTGAAGGATTGCAAATCCCTTGATCATCGATTCTTATCGGGTATTCTACTTCCATTTTATCAAGTACGGTAGAAGCTCATCCAAGAAGTATTTCTTTATTATAGCAATTTCCAGGGCAGATTTAAAAGTGGCATACTGTAGGTAAGTGTATATAGTAGAACTTGTTCGTCAATAGTCAAGCTATGCTTCTATCAAGTGGATTGCCTACACAATTTATAAGGGGGAAATTAAAAAATAAAAAATAGCGACACCACTATCACTTTAAAATAGTTCGCAATTTTCAAATAGAAAGCGTTTATCTATCATTTTTAGATAGGCGATCATAAAATTGGAAAGGAAAATCCAAGATTGGCTTTTAAAAATGACAGTGACAGTGCTATATAAACTAAAAGATGATCAAGGATGGAAATGTTTTCAAAGTATAGGACAGTAAATTTTGATAGGTATAAAAAATCAAAAGAGAAAAATCAAAATGTCTATCGGTGGAAATGAATGCAAATTGCCGACAGACGTTGGTTCAATTTCAATGGACTTTAATGATGGATAAATTTCGATTTGAATACTACTGTAGAAAGTATAAAAGCGGCCCGTTCAAGTTACATTTAAGGATATAGGATAGCTCATTAAGATGCTATTCTAAAGTTAACACTTGCCACAAAGTCTCTTCACACCTTTGACCACGGGGCATACTGAGTAAACATTACCTCTGGGTTATGAGCTTGGGAATATAACTTGCAAGGACGACTAGAACAATCCTAGCGTACTCTGGTCAAATAACGTCAACAAGATGCATTGGGTAGTATAAATTTATTGAGCAATATGGAAAGGATAGGTTTAGGACGTTGAGGACTAGATTTAAATACAAGCAGCTCATTCCTCACCCTCTAGTCATTTTGAGTAGAACAGATATCAGCAATCGATACTATCCAATGGGTATAAATCAGCGACTTTTTCTGGATTCAAATGGTCTTCGAGGTACGCGTATGCTTGCAAATAGGCAATATACTAAACACCATTGAGTCATGTTAACAGAATAAAGTTACAATTCGATAATAAAATTAGCAATTATCGCCTGACTAAAACAGATATAGCTATCTACGAGTATTGTCCATGATTGAGTGGTGTTAACAGGATTCAGGTAGAATTGGACGATAAAATTAGCAATATTCGCTACTGAGTGATGTTTTACTCTTATGCGATAGAGATTAGGATTACATCATGAAAAATAAAATAACCTATCACGATGTGACGAAGTAGAGCATGGATGATATCATGCAATGTATCACTTTTTCCTCTAACGAAGGCTACGTTGATGTAGAAAGAGCAGAAATTAAACTCCATCAAATCATTGGTAGATGAGATCGTCAGAGCAATGCAATACTGAGTCTAACACTGCAAACAACAATAATAAAAATAAGAAATAATGAATATTTGGATGCTAAAATACTGTAAGCAATCTTTTCCTGTGGCGATGCAACATAAACAGTAGTATTGCAAGTAACCACCTCTCCCCTCTAATTCCTTCTGCCAAATATTGGTTATCATGTAATACAAGTACACAACTTAGTCCATACTTTACTAGGACATATTCTCCTATATAGTAGGTTTTTGTCGTTGGATCGGCATGTTGATACTTTTTTGCCGATTAGCTATCGGCACAATTGCTGTTTGATTTGTAGTCGAAAGATCCAATGTACTGTACTCCGAAGTTATTAAAGCAAAATTGCCCATGATAGACGATCTAAAAAAAGTGCAAGCCTAAAGGATAGACGGATAATCTGGCGTTGCCAATGAAAAATAGAGTTAAGATACGCCATCATGATTTGATGGCGTACGGTAATAGTTATGAAGGCAAGAGTAACGAACAATCGCCGCATCAGGGAGCCATTTTCCAGTTAGGCAATGTACAGAAATAAAAAAAAAAATTGACATATTGGCCGTGAAACTCTGGACGAAGTAGCCAACTGTAATGTACAAAGTGGACTATGTAAATTCTATCAATGCTTCTTGCATCGATAATACTATAGACGTTCTAAACATGATGTAGAATCAGCTGAGAAAGGATCAGCAATGGAAAATTTTCTCCATTGCAGTAAAGTCTACAATTGCTTGGAGAATACTTTGTCAACAGTGGAATGGCCAGACATTGTACTGCATAGATACGAATTATGGAGAGAGAAAAAAAAATAATTTAAAAAGACGATTTTGCATGATTGATCAGCATTGACCGCTTGACTAAATTCAAGAAATAAAATTTCTATCACTTGTTGTGGGACATGATGAGCGATATAGGATAGAAAAATGAGGATTAAATGAACCTAGTTAGCAGTCATTTTACCATTATAAAGAACAGCCTGATGTTTATAAGTTAGAAAGTAAAAGCAACATCACTAGCCTCTATACTATTAACTGAGTTTGACAGATTGGAAATAGGAAACCACTTTTTATCTGTAGGAGAGTCTAAATTTCACGTTATGATGGTATTGGTGACTGGATATCGAGTTTATGGATCTTTTCGATCGATAGACTAGCTTTCAATCACAAGTAAAAGTAGCGTGAAATAATGGAAAATCTTCCATCTTGAAGGGGTCAAAATTCTGACTGTCGGTTGGAAATGAATATTGGAGAAATAGTTTCATCTTAGCTCTGTATAGCCATGAATTTGTCTACGATACTCAATCAGTTCACGGTTGATTATCTACAATGCTATCGTCGTCATTTACTCTCTCTCCATCATGGAAACATGAAGGACTGTTTCGATGGCTCGATCGATTGGCCTCTTGTACCAAGATAACTTGATGCTATCACAGTTTGATAAAGAAGCATAGTCTTCTTTGCTAGCAAACAAACGATACTTTAAAGTCTATCAGTCATCATGGCTAACTATCGATCCGATTGCTGCTATTCACTACCATTCTTAGTTGATGACATGGAGAAAAATATCCTTAGTAAAGATAGTCAATGGTCTAGTCGCTAGGGTAGAAAAGCAATTCTTATTTGTTAGCCGATAGCCACAACAACTTTTAAGAGTTGTCAGACGATGATCCAACAACATCTCTCGATCATACGGTCATTAACTGTCTCATCTGCAGAATAAAACGGTATAACGCAAAATCACTGTTGCCAGTAATATTGTATCCTGCATTTCCTCCATCGATATGAAGACGATGGACGAATTGGATGAAGGAAAGAACTGCAAGTTGGCCATGGATTGCAAGGCGACAAGAAAGGACACAGTACTGTACTCTCTACCCCACGGCTAATTTTCAAACACATCGTGATATTGATCTTTCCTATGCTACTATTGTATCATCAATCCATTGTAGGCAGTATAAAATAAACTCCATGATATCATTTCAACATACCATAAGCGTTAATCTTGCTTGATCTTGCTACCAATCATCATCATCATAATAATAACAACTTGATCATCAACAGGATGGTTTTGGCAATGGTGGACACGGTTCTAGACGTTTTGCCAGCAGGACAGCCACGGACTACTGGAAGGAAGTACTGTGGTCGTTGGTATAGTGTACGGCTCAAGACATGGCGGATAATGCCAATAACCAGTAAAAAAAGCAACCAAGCCATAGGAAGCCGTCTCTTGAATCAGTGGTACAGTCACGGACTGCTGGAAGGAAGTAGTCTATAGTCTAGTGTATCACTCAAGATGCGGTGGATCACGCCAATGACCAGTAAAGCGAAACAGCCTTACAATTTTGACCGTTTTGGCCGGGGCTAATTCAGTCCGTCTCTCTGTCTATCTTATACGCTGACAAACCCGTCTCTCGTTTCTCCTTCGCCTACTATGCTCAGTAGTCACTAGTCAGCACTTGTCAGTAGTACAGTAGTAGTCCCTAAACACAGCACTGGTCGAGTATGTCGTATATAGCGGTAGAACATCGGCAAGTCGACTTAGTGGTATATTGGCCTGTCACGGACTACTGGAAGGAAGTAGTCTGTAGTCTAGTATATCACTCAAGATGTGGTGGATCACCCCAATGACCAGTAAAGCGAATCAGCCTTACAATTTTGACCGTTTTGGCCGGGGCTAATTCAATCCGTCTCTCTGTCTGTCTTATATACTGACAAACCCGTCGCTCGTTTCTCCTTCGCCTACTATACTCAGTACTTGTCAGTAGTACAGTAGTAATCCCTAAACACAGCACTGGTCGAGTATGTCGTATATAGCGGTAGAACATCGGCAAGTCGACTTAGTGGTATATTGGCCTGTCACGGACTACTGGAAGGAAGTAGTCTGTAGTCTAGTGTATCACTCAAGATGTGGTGGATCACCCCAATGACCAGTAAAGCGAATCAGCTTTACAATTTTGACCGTTTTTACAGGGGCTAATTCAATCCGTCTCTCTGTCTGTCTTATACTACTGACAAACCCGTCGCTCGTTTCTCCTTCGCCTACTATACTCAGTAGTTCACTAGTCAGTACTAGTCAGTAGTATAGTAGTAGTCCCTAAACACAACACTGATCAAATATATCCTGTATAGCGGCAGAACATCGGCAAGTCGACTTGGCGATATATTGGCCTGTCACGGACCACTGGAAGGAAGTAGTCTGCAGTCTAGTGTATCACTCAAGATATGGTGGATCGCCCCAATGACCAGCAAAGCGAATCAGCCTTACAATTTTGACCGTTTTGGCCGGGGCTAATTCAGCCCGTCTCTCTGTCTGTCTTATAGTACTTAGAAACTCGTCGCTCGTTTCTCCTTCGCCTCCTATACTGTACTCAGTACTCGTCAGTAGTACAATAGTAGTCCCTAAACACAGCACTGGTCGACTATATCGTGTATAGCGTTAGAACATGGGCAAGTTGACTTGGTGGTATATTGGCCTGTCACGGACCACTGGAAGGAAGTAGTCTGCAGTCTAGTGTATCACTCAAGATATGGTGGATCGCCCCAATGACCAGCAAAGCGAATCAGCCTTACAATTTTGACCGTTTTGGCCGAGGCTAATTCAGTCCGTCTCTCCGTCTGTCTTATACACTGACAAACCCGTCTCTCGTTTCTCCTTCGCCTACTATACTTAGTGGTCATTAGTCAGTACTTGTCAGTAGTACAGTAGTAGTCCCTAAACACAGCACTGGTCGAGTATATCGTGTATAGCGTTAGAACATGGGCAAGTCGACTTGGTGGTATATTGGCCTGTCACGGACCACTGGAAGGAAGTAGTCTGCAGTCTAGTGTATCACTCAAGATGTGGTGGATCGCCGCAATGACCAGCAAAGTGAATCGGCATTGCAATTATGACTGTTTTTGCCGAGGCTAATTCAGTCCGTCTCCCTGTCTGTCTTATAGTACTCAGAAACTCGTCGCTCGTTTCTCCTTCGCCTCCTATACTGTACTCAGTACTCGTCAGTAGTACAGTAGTAGTCCCTAAACACAGCACTGGTCGAGTATATCGTGTATAGCGGTAGAACATCGGCAAGTCGAGTTGGTGGTGTACTGGCCAGAAAGCAATCGGCATCGCTACTGTTGACTTGGGCTAAAATGGATACAAAAAGCGAGAGAGCGTTTAACGAGTTTATTGCTGACAAGAAAATGCACTCGGAAGTCGCCATCCAATGTCAAGGCAGACTAGGTTTGCTGGCCATTTGAACTGCCCGTGATGTCTGCAAGCGTACATTGTACTCTTGACAATGGCCAAAATGGCTGACTAGTCTAGTTTTGCTGGTCCATTTCTTGAATTGCATCGATAACTCTACTCATTTTAGTCTTGCAATACTGAGTAATAGGACTAGGCCAAAGTAGGCAGCCTTGGCCATATATGATGTGTAGTCTTAGAAGTAAGCAATTCATGGAATGATACAGAGTGGAAATCATAGAGATTTCTAACGGAAGCCATGGTCAGCAACTGCGGGAAAATCAGAGGGACGTCAAGCTATAGATCGTCTATAAAGATAGACACTAGAACGTTGTACTCTTAACACTTTGGACTTCAACGTACCATAGTATATGTAGTAGGGTAATTCGTGAATATGAGAGTATACAGATTCTATTACAACAATATTAGCATATCTATGGACGGGTAAAAATTGCAGGCTATTCCATGCATCATTTATACCGTGATTTCTTACTATAAATGACAACATTCATTGGAAAATAGTTCATGCGAGCTAAACGATTAAAGAACGTTGATCTAAATAGCAATCATATCATGGAAAGTATTCAGAATCGTATTACTATACATGACATTATCCATTTGAAAAGGATGATAACGCTAATACCTGTGTGATTGCGAGTGCACCTTTCTAGTGTAAGGCTTAAGATAAATAAAAGGAATAGATTACGTTCAACATCGAATTTCAAATACTTTCAAATGATTGGTGATAGTCATTAATAAAATGAATAAAACCAAATCCATATATCAATAATATACATTTTATGCTATTGTAGCTTGCCTTTATAATAGTCTATGAATTATCTTAAATCGACTGAGTTTGATGCTTTTAAATCCACTAAAACTATCTCTTTCAATTTTATTGAAATTTGTAAATGGAACTAGTAGGGTATCATTTCAATTCCAGTAGAGTATTCAATTTCTGAACTGTAAGTATAAAAATTACTATAGCAGCTATCTATTGTATAATTCATCATCCAAAAGTCTACAAGCATACAATATATACAGCATTATACCTTAAACTATTATAGCCAAAAATAATTTACCTACGGGTATATCCTAATCACTGCTAGTCCTAAAAGATATCTTAGATTAAGACTATATTTGATGATTTTATATGCTCCCTAGAGACTACTATGTACCATTACTATAATAGCAATTCCAGAAATTTTCCAAATATCTCTAGTTTAGAGACCGATATTTTAACAAGGCTCTTTCCTGAGCCATTCATGATTTAACAGGGGCTTATAGCTTTTAGAGAACTCACTTGCTATCGTTACCTATTCTATACACTTTTGACTATGCTATCGAAACTTTTAATTATTTTCATTGTTGTAGCTGTCTGTAAAAAATATTCAAACGTGTACTTCAAAGCACTTAGCAAATTTACTTATATTTCATATTCATACTACTGAAATTATGGCCATCTTGAGATAATACACATAATACTATTTGCCATTCGAGCTAAATTATGGATACCATGATATGCATGAACGCCAGCTTGAGACTGACAATTTTTAAATGCTGTAATAAATCGAATTGAAAAATAATAACAGTTATAAAAATACGCTTAATCGATTACCAAATATTTAAAATATAAAACTAATGGAATAGAATTGCTCTACAGGAAATTTATGCCTAGAAATATTCATCTATGCTGGTAAAAACACAAATACATCATTGTTGCTTATTTAAACTTTAAAATTAATTGATTTGACTAATTATAATTATAATATTTCTAAGTTAATCCGTAATTACTTGAAAGATGATGAGTAGGACAATACTTTAGTTATAGACTAGTCTTCAATCACAAATACATCGATCATCCTCGTGCTATTCTCATTGTTGATTTTATTGATCGGCATATTGAAAATTGAAATAGACAGTGACTAATTTATGAATACATTGCTATTATGGATACCATATCTATTTTCAGTGTCTTTTGAATTGGCTGTGACTATTGACTCGATTGATTAATATTTAATTACTGACGTTGATTGATTTTAATTTCGCCTTAGCAACTAGATATGATTAATATAATGCATGATATAAAATAAAATAATTGATGATGTTGATCAGAAAACTAGCCAATAACATAAAGAGAACAACCAACAAAAATTGTAAATAATAAAAGGAAACATCAGTTGAGTATTCAATGACTGCAATTCTCAACTGATTGAATCATGGTACTGTTGTAATTGCAATCATATAATAGATGCGGCTAACATTGATTACTCAATATGAGGTATTTATTTATTTGGTAGTAGAATTGGCTATTGTTTTCGATTCCTCTTACTAGCTTAAACTAGCTGAAAAGTCGAGAAAGGATTTAATGAATAGAAAGAGTAAATTTTATTTCTTTTAAACTACTCTTAGCAGTACCCAACGTATCTATCTTGCTGGAAAGCCTTTCTCTATCTCTGGAATTAATATCGATGGACAATTATTTCCATTGATTGTGTTTGTATTAGTTCAACTATCCTAACTCAAAATACCATAAAGGATATAAATAAATAGCACTATAGATAGGATAGGACTAAGTTAATCATTTCTACAAGCGTTCTTCGACCAACTTTCTTTCTCACTCTCTCGGTATTGATTTGGAAATAACAACAGTACACGTTTTAATCTTCAGCGATGGCCACAACTACTTCACAACATCGTCCTAAAGGCCTTCTATCCAAAAATTCAACCAAAAATCCAATTCGATTTCCACTTTTACCTAATGGCAATAATACAACTTCAAATAATAATATTACCACCAATAAATCTACCAATAAATCTACCAATAAAGATAGTTCTTATGAGTACGGTAATATTCTTGCCGGCAGTAAAAAACGCCTTGGAAAAACGAAGATTAATATTGTTGAGAAAAAAGATTTGTTAGTTACTGGTATCGGAACTATACAGCCCACTAAAACATATCCAAAAGATGAGCCTTTTCAACACGAAGAAGCGCCTATTTATTCCAAGGCTTTACTACAAGGTATTATATTGCCAGTCATTTTATAAGCGATACTTATTTAAAATGTAAAAATTTTAGCTGAAATCATTTTGTCTATTTTTAAACCGTTATATCTCATCATAACTCAAAAAATTGTGCAACTCATTTGTGAATTAAGAAATTTAAGATTGATTGCGATATCTTAACTTACTAGTAGAAGTAGGGCAAGGAATAAATTCAAATACATAATAACAAACAGATAGAATGCTGCACTGAAGGCGATCCTTGATGATCAGAAAATCAAAAACTTTCTGACTAATAACAAACACTAATTATCTATGGAAAGATTGATATTTTAATTTCCGTCTAGCAATTTAAGTCCTACTAGTAATTAAAATGATGTACCCTTAATTATATTTCTTATAATACTAATAGTTAACTGAAATATTATACTTTCCCGAATAGCTTTGTAGAAATTTTAACACTGGGTCTAAAGTAGGTATAGATTAAGAGTTACATATTCTACGCCTGGATAATCTCAGCTGATGATGTCAGTAGCCGTTAGTTAACCTAATTATTTCCTCTTTAACTTTATAGACATAAAATCACTGTAGTTAAAAATCTGATAATGGCGTTGAGTGAGATAATTGTCATTTTACGTTAAAGATTCTTTTCTCGTACAACAATTTTGATGATGATTTACTTTTTCATTTCCAATATCGATTTCATCTCAATGGTAAATCATAAAACAAAGTAAACCCTAGAATCCGATGTGTTAGAAATGTAGGAGTGGATAGCAAATTGCTTGTTTAATATTATATCGTCATTTCCTCGATACCATTGCTAATTAATTGCAAACCAATACCACTTCATTAATATTCATCGTCCTGGTAGCAGAAAATTAACGTCAAAAGTATAGCAGTCAGTGCGATTGCTTTAGTTTTATAAATGTCATCGTATTTACAAATGTAATATCATCAAATCTTTCCTCATCCAACGATTACATATGCCATTTGGATAGATAGATAGATACTACAATACGATAAATGATATATTAATTCGTTGTAATTTATTTCTTTGCCGTATTTGCAATTGATCCTCAATATCGATTACCTTGTTCTAAGCATTCAATTTTAATAATTTCTAAAACCTGCACCAACAACATCATCAGCGTCATATTATCAACATAAGAATAAACCAGGGAAGCATTTATAAAAATTTCGCTCAGCTTTGCCTTTCCTATTCACCATAGTGGCTTCTGCCACTTTCATTTTAACATGCCGTCTTTCGTAATTTTTATACTAAAAGATAATGATATTAAATCGTGTAGAGTAACCGCATATTACCTTGGCACAGTATTCTCAATGAAGAAATCTAATTCAACTATTAATGAAGTTCATATTCACAAATTAAAAATATTTTTAGCGTGTAATCATCTTTCGTGATTTTCATACTAAAAGATTATGATATTAAATCATATAGTGCTACTGCATATTACCTAACACAATCTTTCTCAATGTAGAAATCCGATTCAACCATTAATGCACTTCATATCTACAAATTAGGAAGTCAAAACTAATATCTGATATTTACAGCCAGTAAGATTATGACCGAATTTAGCTAATCATATTCCATTTTTGATGCTGTAGTACGCTCCATATTGACTTTAGCACGGTCTCCTCCAGCCTAAAATTCGATTAAAGTCTCAGCTCGTATTTATGACTTAAATAATTAAAATGAACTGCCATCATCAGAATATATACTTTAATAAAGGATTTTAGAACCTTATTTAAGATATATTTGAAATTGCCACACTTTTAAATAGAGTAACATGATGTGATTGCTATATTTGATTTATTCATTTTGTCCTGGATACGCCTAGTGACCTCTAGAAATACTTCTGAATTCAAATAACAGATGGCGCAAGTCATTGATTATAGTACAAGATAATCACGTTATTTCAACATTGATTTTTGAATGTCAGAAGAACAATTTTGCCAATTATAAGAAAGAAAATTAAAGGTTCAAGCTTTGCTGCCAGAGTTTATTTTCCTGAATAATTTCAGCGATAAATGAGTAATTGCCGTCTATTTATGGCATCAAATTGCTATTAATAGCCCACTTGAAATTAAAATTTTGATGACAATCATTCAACGTGGCAGCTATTATTTGTACTAAATTTATAGTTTGCGAAAATTCTTTGGCTATAATTCATAGTTTCCTCTATCTACTAGCCTTTTACGGCAACATCTTAACCCATTAACAGACACTGCATAGTTCGTTTTCAAACCACAAAACAGCCAATTTAATTTAATTATCACATTTTAGTATCAAAACTTGTAATTATCTGGGCACCACTGCGTATCTTACTATTCCATATCTTCTTTTTATCATAAATACTAGTTAAACACATAGAATATTGCTGCTCCCGTTAGAACTTGATAGCAATTGACAGCCACTATTTTTTGAACAAATTATAATGTTAATTTGGAGTAACTTTTTTATGTCATTAGAGTAGGCTAATATCTATTTTAAATCAAGTCAGACAATAGAAATAATGGCATTACAGAATTCTCGACAAAATGCTTTCGTTAATAATTAAAGACTAGTGATTTTTACAACACAAAAATAATTAAATCAACTCGAAACAAATGTGAGTGGCAGATATAATATTTTATTCGCAGATTCATAGCATAGTTGACATTGGAATAAAATCACTTTTAAATTAGCATACACAGCAGAATAGAATTTAGAGAAATAATACAGCAGCGGAGCAATACATCGATATGCCATATACCAGTATTTTATCCATCATTATTATTCTAAATGAAATGGTCAACAGTAAAATATTAAGATTACAATCGGTTGCATTTATTAAAATTACATTAAAAATAATTTCCTTCGATATATTATGCTATATCGAAAGTTAGATTTCGGGAAATAACGCTTATAACATTAACAATAAATTTCCATTTGTATACTATGCTATATCGAAAACCTGGTTCGGAAGAACAACTGCTATAAAGTTGATAGCGGTGCTGTTGTTGCTTTAATCAACGTAATTATTGGACAACTAAATTTTAACAGTTTTGAGAAACTTAAAATAGTAACATGGCAAGACCAATTCATTGACATCTAGGGGAAATAATATGGGAACGATTATAAGGAAATAAACTGCTGGTCAAATTGTACTATCAGAAGCTTCACTTTCTATTTAGTTCCAGTATTGCAACTATATCTGGAAAGAGCAACTTATTACTGAATACTCTAAACATAAAATTGACTTAAAAATTATCAACTCTTATAAATGTTGTTGTTAACATTACTTTTACCCTTATAATATGTATAGCAGCTACATGAATATTAACTTCCTGTACTAGAAGCAGCTAGTGTAAGATTCTGTTTATCTTCAAATATTAAAATATTTCTACAGAAAAGTTAACTAACTGCAGAATACTGGACGCTTTAGCAGAGATTATCTACTAAGTATTAAGGGTTATATATTTTTGAATAGTAGGTTTACTTTCGCTCTATTCCACGAAGCCTCTTAGGTCGATTTTGCTGTGGTTCTACAGAAAATACTAACACTAATAAATAATTTTAGATTTGGTAAAGTCTAGAGTACACCATACGAAATATTGCTTTTATAGAATAAAGTAAATCAAAATTTAAACGACGTTATAGACTATCAGATTAGGATGAAGTTTTAGTAATAGTTAGTATTGAGCCAAAAACATGGCAAAATTAGCATGAATGAGAAAAATTGGGGATTTTAAATACAAATGGGCATTAAAAACGTTAAAATTGTTCGTTGATTTTTTTCGCTATCGTTATTAATTTGAATTTGAATTAAATGTCGGTAAATCCTTATACGATAGTTAATATAGACATGAAATTTCATTTATTTTCTTGCCACGATCTTTCAAGTTTTATAATTGATCAATATTGAGCTGTTCTCATACTATTTAAGAACATATCTATATCAAAGTATGCAGCCATTTAGTAATATCTGTTAATGTTCATAAAACAAAAAGATTCTTTGCCGAATTTAGCTAATAAATCGTTTATTCACTCAGTAATAAAGCGACAACGTATCTATCATTATTTGAAAACCAATCCTGATTTCCTGAAGGAATACATTATGGATCATGTAGAAGAGAACGAGATTAAATATTGGCTATCTAGTAAATCAGTTCCATCACAGCCATTTGCTGAAGAAAAAGGTTAGATTAATTCCTAATATAATGAAGATCAAAGTAAAATCATTAGTTACTTGCAAATTATTTTAAATGATATACCGTAATAGCTAAATACTTATAGTTTATCCGAATAGAACTTAAGATTGATGTTATTAAGATTTTCAATTTATTTATTAATAAAGTCACAAAGATCTTATCAAAAGAAATCTATAAAGTGCTTTACTATTTAGTAATCACAATTTGTTTATACGATTAGTAGTAGCTTTACTATGCTACAAGAATTGCATAGAGCCATAGACGATAATTTTAAATATCTACCATCTATGTCAATCAGATAATAGTTTTTAATAATACGTTCTAGCTGATCCAGAATTTGAAGAAGCTGGCAGCCGAAGAGCTAAAGAATTAGAGGAAGAGGTTGTTTTTATTCTGGAATATTGCATTATCACTTTTATAGCTTAGCATATTACCAATGTAAAAACAGTATGATCGAATCGCCTACGAGTGTTTTACTTTTTAGCCAAATAGTATTAAATAAAGGTTGCTATGTTTGAATATTTACAGTATATGCTTGGAGTTATAACAACTGAAAGTTAAAATTATCATATCAATATTTGTTAGATGATGAAAAATCGAGATAATTTACATGAGGGACTCCAGAAAATTGGTAAAAGACATAACCTCTACCTGATACTTTACTGTATGATGCGAAATATTGGCAGAGGTAAAATAATGACTACTAACATTTCGTTGTTAATTTGAATCATTCTTAATTTACGCTTCGTTTAGCTCAAGATGAGGATCAAAGATTTAAGATCTATCTTTTTGCTGCTGTTTCTAAGTCCTTGTTTTCATTTCTGTAGTTATCAATGCGACAAGATCGAGACTTTATATTGTAGATGAGAATGGTGAAGTGAGTTTGATATCGACAATTAATAATATGATGAAATAAAGTTCTAGAATATGCTCTTTTTCACAGTCTTATTCATAATTTCTACATAGGTTGTTTATCAATTTATACCCCAAGATCCAAGGTAAACATTGCGCTTGTAACTATAGTTATATTAAATTGCTATTGTATTTCAATAGGTACAACTAAATTCACGTTAAAATGCTGTTTTACAACTTTCTATGTTGATTGGTTATTATAACACTATTTATAAAGACAAATCCTATTATGATTAAACTAAATTTGTTGATAACTTTTTCAATTAACTCATTTAGTCCCTATGAATGCTTTACTCTGCTAATGTTTTGTAATCATTTATGTCATGCACGTACTAATCAGCTTTTCTAAGATAATGCAATACTGCTGTCGGTTGTTATTCTTTAGCCTAAGGAATAATAAAGGATTCATTTGATTATTTATTGTAAGCAATGTTAAATCGAAGCGACAACGTCTTGCTGGTCAAGATACTCCTATCGCAACAGCTATACGTACAAAGACGACAGTTAGACTGAATGCTATGGTAAGAATTAATAAAGCTCGATTTAATTACGATCTTATAATTAATATAGCAAAATTCTACATTCAATAGCATTAAAGTTATACTATAAAAATATACATTATTACATTTACGCTTGACTGGTTTGGCCATACATGCCATAATAAAATAATTATCAATCCTTTTATAAATGACTAAGCCATTGATAACGGTCAGTTTAGTTTAAATTTGCTATACGTCTATACTGTATATTTTTAATTTCTTACTTCTTTTACAATATACCATGAAAGCTCTATTTCATAACGGCGTTATTGACTAGATAATTTAGTGTACTGGCCTTAATAAGAAAGAAAATAGACCAGCCTTTCATAAATAAGTTACAGTAAAAGATTTTTTATTATCCCCGTCAAATTGAATCGAATATTAAATTTTTTACAGCGAGAAGATTTTGCAAGGAAATTCACAGAATACAGAGAAAACGGTAAAAAAAAATACCGTAATATAATATAGGGCATATTGTACTTGACTAGATATGAAAATTGACTTTAATTTCTATTCATTATAACCATGGGTATCTGAATTTTATTGTCTATTGCTAACCTATCCTACTTTCTGTGATCTTACTTCGATAAATGTTTGTGCAACAATTAAATTTTTTATCCATCTACTTATTTAAATTTTATAATTATAGTGGAAATCGAGTATGATTTTAGTCTATGGCAACCAATCATGACTTTCAGTGGAGAAGTATTCGGTAATAAATTACATTTTCTATATGAGTTTTTCAAACAGCTAACATGAAAATCCAATATTTAATCATCAGCTGTAATGGAAATAAGTAAATTCAAAGGAATTGGCTTTACGTATGAAGATGCTCATGTATGCTAGAATTGGAATTAAAACCATTAATCCCAATGATATAGCTAATTATTATCTTGCGATTGTTCAATAGGCCATGACATCTTTAGCATTATGGTGCCAATTAACCTTAGAAAGAGCAATGGTAATGAATATCATGAATATCGTTATAAATGTTAGGCCTTCTCAATTTTGTTCGCTTTATTTCAGAATCTTTATAGTCAAGGGACGGATAAGGATATATATCAAATGATGAATGCTATTGTTAAGTAAGATTTCAGTCAATACGTATGAATTATTACTAATAATCTGATACCTGTTAGGAATAGTGTCTAATCTATTCTACCTTTTGTAATTAAGATCTATGTCTCAAGATGTTATGAGCGTAAAAAAAGTAACCACATTAATACTGGTAAGACAAAATAAATGTAATAGGTTGTACAAGTAATTTTGTAATGGATTATTTTGGCGTTCATACGAAAATAGCCTTAAATAAATATAATACTTGGAGAGAATTAGCGCATACATTAAAAGTATAGTAATTTAAATTCATTACTGTATAATATTACATACCTATTTAACACTAGAGTACATTGCAAGCCTAAACTAATCTTGAAAATATATTATTTTTTCAATATTGAAATATACGCAGACGCAAACAAAGCAGTTTATCAAAGCTGATCGAGCTTCCATATTTGTTTACTCGTCCAAGAATGACGATGAAGTAGAATTATATCCTTTAGTTTTTGATGTAGGATATGAAAACAAAGATAAGAATACAAGAAAGTTTAAATCCATTTTGCGGTAGATACTATTCACATCATTACTGGTAAAAATTTGACTTACATACCTCAAACTTTACTCTAATTATTGTCATTGCATTTACCCATTTTAAAAATATTCTAGCTTTCCTTCCGATAAAGGCATAGTTGGACATTGTGGCAAAATTGGAAAGTCAATTATTGTAAATCATGCTAGTGACGATGATCGATTCTATAGGTATGATTAATCTCAATAAAGTTAATTATAAATTTGAAATATATAATTGATTAACGAAAATAAAATTATTTTGAGGAAATTGAAAATTTCGATATGAAGTTCACTAGCAAGTAGCACAGATTTATCTAATCATAATGGATATAATGCAGTTCACAAAAAAACCCTCTGATATAGCAATATAAGTCAATTAATCTTAGTTATATTGTAGCTTATTAGCAGTAACATATGCATTCAGTATTGATGTGTAGGTTATGAATGTGTGGTTTTAGACATTTTGAGATATACAGTAAGTTTACAATATGGCAATAGAATAATTCCTAACCTTTCACATTCCAATGTCGTAAATCAATCTTAGCCATAAGGTAACTTATTAGTAGTCATAGGCAATCAATACTGGCGTAGGTTATGAAAGCGAACTTTCATAAATTTTAAAATATAAGTTTATAATATAGAATCAGGATAATTTCTAACCTTTTACTTGGAATTTCTAGTAATCCATGCTTTTTACATTCCAATATCGTAAATCAATCTTAGCTATATTGTAACCTATTAGCAGGAGTATCCGCTTTCAATATTGATATGTAGGTTATGAAAATGTGCTTTCATAATTTTGAGAAATAAGTTTATATATGGTAACAGGATAATTCTTAACCTTTTATATTCCAATATCGACAAATATCTGATGGAAAGAACCTTAATCTACATCTGTGCAATAATTAAAACATGAATAAGTATAACGAAAATCAAATTCTATCGTGTATTTATATACAGAAATGTCGACAAGGTCACTGGATATAAGTCGAAAAATATGATATGTACTCCAATTTTAAATAATGGCAGGTAAGTAAACATTTCATTTATTCGTTTATCTGCCGTAACTCGAGCATAAGTGCGATAGACCACCACTCCACATAAGCAAAATCGCTAATAATTTGTAACAAACTAATAAATCACCTATATCGAGCCAATATTAATCTCTTTTAAGCTATTTCGACAGTATATTATTTGTATACCATAAACCAAGGATCAGATATGTCCCTTGGATTTTCGATATTACAGCATGGATTTCATTTATACTGTCATACGGAGTATTATACTAAATATAGGAAAGTAATAGTGAATAGTAAATGAAAGTCTACTCAATCACACGTTTATATGAATAATTTATCATATCAAATTATTTCTTTCGAGCTATAATATTAGACATGCCAATTTTATTTAACACTTAAACTGACTATCTGGTTACTCATTTGTATCATGTAATGATTAATTTTATCTTAGTGTTATAGGTATCATTCAAATGATCAACAAAATCAATGAATCAACGTTTACTTGCTTAGGTAATCGTTTAGAATAACCTGGATAATAGCATTACTCTGTAGATTTTATCCTTTTTACCGTAGAAACTCTGTCAATAAAGTTCAGCTCGATTCCTTTCTCTAATTAGATAAACGAATCTTGGAAAATGTATCCCTTGTCTGTGGGCTTGCATTGCATTATGCCAAGGTACAAATGTTGCATGATTGTAGTCTAATCGTTGTCTATGATTTATTCTTTAATAGCAATCGTATGATTTATTTCCTAGTTCTTACTAATGTGAAGTAATCTTAAAAAGTAATTAATCATTCCTACTTATGGGATATGATTACTTTTATACCGTGTATGATGAATACGATTTGAGCTAGCATCTAACTTTTATAATCAGTCCAATTAATAATAAAAATAAATTAAACAATTCTAAATCTGGTTAAAATTTAGCTATATGATAAGGTACGAAAGCTGGATTATCGATACATGGTAGGTTAACAAAATGAGCTATCTTCATAAATTCTAAGGCATTTAGACTAATATACGTATTAGCGGTCAATATTTCATCTTATTGTTTTATATATGTTATATATGTACCATAATGCAGATAACTTTAGACGTTGCGGCTTACCATCGGTGCGCTAGCATTGAAGAAGCAGCAGATATTCTTGGAAAACCCCGATTAGATACTTCAGGAATTATCAAGTAAGAATAGTCAATAATATATTTTGAAACAATTTAGTTTTAGCATTACTACCACATTATGTATTTTCAGTTAAAGACAATTTAACCGTGAATGCTTTATTTTTTACAGCTACAGCATGGACACTAAAGGTTTACCCAAATCCGATGTTCCTAGATATGTGCTTGCTATGTTTAGAGATGTTTTCGAAATGACAAAGTAAGATCTAAGTGATGATATTTCTGCAATTATTATTAAATATCCTAGTTATTACGCAAAAGGTATCTGATATTGTATCTTCATTCTCTGTAAAGGGTGATGAAAGGAGGTCAAATAAAGTAAGTTTAAATATAGTGCATTTAGTGACTTTAAAAACAATTAAGCTGAAAAATATTTATAAAATTGTTGATAGTGGTAGAAATTGAATAATACAGTACAATACCTATTCATTGGCCTATAAAATTTTAATATTTTCAGTTATACACCCATAAGACTATGTAGGAATTTAGCGCATTAATCAAGGTTATATCAATGAATATTCACATTTCTGGACATGAAAATTAGTCCATAGTTCTTGCTAGCGGCGACTTCTATCTAAATACTATGTTATTTTATTTATGTACAGCTGAATTCACATGTTTTTAAAGATTGAAATAATTTTAACTAACAGTCCCTAACTTTATTTTTACCAGGTTCAACGAAGAAACTCTTATTCGATTCACATTGACAGTACGCAATAATTACCGCAATGTGCCCTATCATAACTGGAATCATGCTTTTCAAGTAGCTCATAGTTTTTATACCGTGATCAAAACTTGCCCTGACGTTCTTTCTCCAATAGAGGTAATACAAAACTATGTGTGGAATTATCGCGGCCTTAAGGACGATAATGCAATGTTTCATGAATAGAAGTACTGCATAGTTAGCTACTTTAACAAAATGCTCTTAGGATTGATAACTATAGAAAAATATTACAATTTTGATCTTGAGAATGGCGATCAAAGTTTATATTTTCTACATTAGCCAAAGATTTTAATTTTAATCTCTGCAATTACGTAAAATCGATATTGATATACATATTACATCTGCAGCTTTGATATCAGTTACTATAAAGTAATTCATGACTTTAATCCGGATGAATCTATAAATTCTAAAATTCAATATCTTAACTGTGAATGAATTAAAATTTTTAGTTATTTTGCCTTTATTACCGGCTATGGGTTGATTTCAATTTTGTGAAATGTTTAGCTATCTTAATTGTTTAAATTGTTGGCGTAAAGTTACAGTCTGTATTATAAACACTTTGTATCTATCTGACAATTCATAGGCTAATTTTACGTCAACTTCTAGCTGACATAATCTTAATAATCTATTTCACAGCGATTGGCTCTATTTGTTGGATGCTTGTGTCATGATCTGGATCATCGAGCTAAGACTAACGCGTATATGGTCAATTCAAAAAATCCTTTAGCTGCAATGTACAGTACTTCTACTATGGAGTATCATCACTTTTATACAGCAATGTCAATCTTAAGGGTAATGTCAGCTTTACTTATATGTATAAATATTATATATATAGTATATAGCGCGCTATAATAATAAGGCAATGATATATTAACGATTATCATAAACTTCATCTTTACTGCTTTCCTCTCCGTAAATATTATCCTTGTTTTTAATGTTACTAAGCGAAAAGTTAGGGAAATTTCAACCTCTTTAGCCTAAACGTTTATGCGGAATAACTTTTCTAGAAAATTTTATCAAACCTTTTTAATTTTGCCGTTGTTTTGTGTAATCTACCATGTTATAGGCAGATGGTCATAATGTTTTTGAATTTCTACCTAAAGATTTATATGAAAAGGTAAAAATCTTCAATTACGATTATCACTACTCAGGCGATGTCCTAATATTGTAACCATATTGTTCAATTAAACACTATAAATTTTTAATATCAACTCCCGTGTTGCAAGCTACAATATTAGAATTATCATTAAAGTATTAATTAATGTTACTAACGTCAACGAATCCATGATTGGTATGGTTAGGCAATTCAAGACATGAAACAAGCAATCGTATATACAGATTTGGCACTTTTCTTCAGTAATCGTGCGATCTTGCAAAAAATTATCAATGAAAATAAGTTTAGCTGGAATAATCCGGAACACATGTAAGTTGAAGAGAGTTTGATCAGAATTTTCGCTAAATCAGTAATTAGATAAGATAAAAGGATAGTTTATGTATTATTCTACGTTAAATTTTATACATATAGATCAATTACCTGTAATAAAAAATACGTGGTAGTTTTCAAATACGTATTTAAAGCATTACAAGTATGGCAATTACTGACTGAATATCTCTTAAAATGGAATTTAATCAACTGGTTACTTAATCTATTTACTAGTCAGAGCAAGTGTATGCGTGATGATAATGCATGTGATTTTGATAGTCTTCTGTTCTACCTTTAGAATGAGATTGAAGGGCATCATTATGACAGCTTGTGATCTCTCAGCTGTAATCAAACCTTGGCATATCAACAGACTAACAGTCAGACAGCTCTTTCAAGAGTTTTATAATCAGGTTAGAGGTGAAGTAATACTTTATTGCTCGAAGATATCCACATTTCATAACAAGAGTAAGCTATTTGGCTAAGATTACGCTCGGCTGAAATAAAAAAATTTTACATTCTTAAAATATGTATTAGGGTGATGAAGAAAAAGCTCAATCTCGAAATCCTTTACCAATGATGGATAGAGAAAAAGCACATGATTTGCCAGCAAACCAGGTCAGATAAAAGGCCTATAAAATGAAAACACTTATTGCAATTCCTAATTACCTTGTAAAAGTTATTACTGTATGAAATTAATACTAGAAACAGATTTTTTCATGACATTAGTAACGTTTACTTGACATTTTAGGTGGGATTTATCATGGGAATTTGTTTGCCATGCTACGAAATTCTAGCTAGAATACTTCCTAATACTTATCCAATGCTAGATGGCACAAGGTAAATATACTAAAAATACCAGTTCATGCATGCCTTTATAATGACTCTAAGATGCTGATCTTCCATGGTTAAATTATGTATGCCAGTTAATATAACTCATCACCTTAGCTAGAGTTGTTCCATGTTCAATTCGCAATTGTAATCATATCTATACAAGTAAAAGCTGCCAGTAGAATTAATACATATCACTAAATTTTTTGCAAATTTAATATAAGGTTCATCAATTTATATTGCCCATCTTAGGTCAAATTTACAAAACTGGTCAGCTCTAGTAGCAAAACAAAAAGCAGAAAAAGATGAATTAGAAGCACTCCAAAAGGCCAATGAGGAAGGAGAAATCTACGAACCGAAATATCGTAAAGATAAACTCAGAACGTCTCATTCATCAACGGCAAATTCTGCAAAAGTTTCAAGTGGCAGTAAGGACTCCATCGCAGATAACAAATAAACTTAATTACGTTAGAATCAGCGCATATATTTTATGCCTAAAATCTGAAAGGCTTACTAAAATTGCTACAGAAGCACATGATACTTGGAGTCTATCCTTATAGATTACATATACATCATCCAAAACGTTAGAAGGCATATGAATCGATATAAAATTAGTTCATAAACAACTGAGTTACAATTTATAATTAATTTCTCTAAAATTTTGGAACATTGGAAATAGCGAAAATACGTCCCATCCACTCTTAAAATTATAGAATAATATTGATATATCTAATTTAATTATTTTATATTCTATCAGCCTAATCTTGAACTAGAATACTGCTAACTTTAATAGCAAGTTGATACTCGAAAACGAATTTATTACCATAGTAGAATGCTCAGTTTATGATGTCTTATGCCAGAATATAATACATGATTCATTTCTTTACCTGAGATTTAACAAAGATTAATTGGTCATATCACCGTGCAATTACGGTTACCGAAACAGTGATACTATTTAAGCGCTGTTTCGCTTTCACGGCAACAAGTTTCTCCTTTAGTGTTCATATGGATTCGCTAAATGTGGCTATTAATATTTCGCCATTGCGTCTTATAAATTATGAAACTATCGATATTATCGATACATTCGCTTTAAAAAATAAAAGTCAAGAAACATTTTTAAATTTATTACGAACAGCAGTTATGGATATGTTGTTTGTTTATATGTCATAAGAACGCGATTTATTATGATTAGACGTAAAGTTGTAAGGTATCAAGATTAAAGTATAGTACATTACTGAGTGTCATTAAAGTGTATAGTCGTAACTTTTTCTTTATCGTTGAAGTTGAGTGATCATATTTCAAACCAGTTGTTGTGTAAGTATGGTACAAATTACTGAATTTTACACCGATAATATTCTAATTAAATACTTTTAACAAGGACAAAAGCTCAAATTTAAGATTTCAAAGTATAAATCGTTGAGTTTATTAATATATAATTTTAGTCAAAGTGAAATAGTACTTGTTGTCATTAGTTATAGGTCGCATCACTATTCATCATAAATAACGCACCTTCGATAATATTGTACAAACTTAATTTAAAAATAAATATCTATCGAAGATAGCGAGTCATTTATACTAACTGCATATACGATAAAACGCACAGGGAATTATTTAGAAAATGTTTAAATTGTGACAATTCGCTTACAGGATTAAGCATAACTATAAATACCATATAAAAGAAATTTATAAATTTAAATATCTTTCTATAGATATCAAATCCAACATAAGGGTATATTATTAGCTCAAAGGCCCACATTCAAACGATCTACTTATTCAGCATGAGCAATAAACTGTTCAATATCCTGTAAATCAAAAACGGCAGGAATTAGTCATTTAACGTTACCGTTTTTTAAAATATAATAACGTGTACTATATACCGTTAGTGGAGGACATCTATTATGGACTTGACTATAGCTTTTAAAGAATCCGTGAATATTCACAGAAAGCCTTTCAATATCTTCTATAGTGTTCTCAGCAGTTGAAGTGGCCAAACGAGAAATTAGAGAATTCAATTCCTCATCACTGACACCATTATCTATAGTATCTATAAAAAAAGTCAAATATTATAGATGCTTAAAAAGTGAGATTTCAGAAATATGATATCTAGCTATTAATGCAGCGGACAGTAAAAAGTTGTACCTATTCACTTACCGAGTTGTTCATAACGGTCGGTTTCACAAAGACCAGCAGAACCATTACTGATTAGGAGGCAAGAATTGGTAGTAATCTCTGAACTAACGGTACCTTATAAGAATTTAAATTTAAAGAAGTTACTAATGTTAGCTCCGTGAGAAATATAAACATTGATTAGTAACGTATTCATTAACTTCAGCTATCCAGGCAACAATAGTACGACTTACTACTATTCCGGATACTATTATCACCATCATTGAAATTTAAATGAGAATCAGTTTCACCAACACTTGTCGTTTCTGATGTATCGTTTAATTTTCCGTTTTGAACGACAGCTTTGGCTTGTGACTGCCGGTACTGAATTTCGTCACACGAATTTTCTGTAGATTCATCTACTTCTATACCTCGAATTCGTTTACTAAATCGTACAGAATTTATTGGTGGTTTCCGTACGTATATAAGACTACTGATGTTTGTTGCATCTGTTTTGGGACTTTCGTCAATGGTTACCGGTAAATTTTCTATACATTATAATAACAGTAATGAGTGAAGTTTCTTTCAAATACATAAAATTTATATAGTAAGTGTTTACTACATGTATGAATTATCAACAGAATTGCTTTACCACGGCGTTTTCTGGATTCTTTTAGTTCTTCACAAGTCTACGTATAACATATTGTAGATTATCTTAAGCATTGAAACAACCCTGAAATACCTATATAGAATACAAACCTTTTCAAAATCGCTATCAAGTTCCTTATCAATAATAGAGTCGACGGTATCCTTTAGCATAAAAGCTCGATGGCGGACAGCTTTACTAAGTGGATCACTAACAGGATTATATTTCAGTGCATTATTTACAATGATTTGAATGTCCGCTACAAACTGTGCGGCAGATGTGTACGAGCCATCATCTATTTTATCAGCAATTGTTGAAAAGTCCATGGGTGTCGTCACAACATCCAAATAGTCTGTTACCTAAAATTACATATTAAAGTAAGTCTTACATTATTGATTGCAATGTATCTTATAATAGGGCGTTTCTTTATAAAGCAATGGAATTCTAACCTCGTCAAGATTAACAGGCTTAACAAAGCAACAAAATTTTCGATCGGACATGAGTCTGTTTATAACATCTCTCAAAAAGATTCTTAGTTCTCTAAAGACATTACTTTCATATTTTGCCAAACGATCTACCTCTTCTTTTGTCAACTGTCTAGATACCGAGCTACTATCTTCCACTTCTAGGATTTCAATTTCACTTCTGACAACAGTATCTAATGTCAAGAGGTAGACAAAGTATTGCTAAATGAATATTCCCGCGTCTACTACCGTAATACCGCATGATAATACGTAATTTCTGTTACCTAAACTTTTTCTTGTCCGCCCTTTAGAACAATTCTCTAGCACTTCTTTAAAATACAAGTACCTAGCGTAGTAATCTGGCGAGTTGATATGAAAGCATGCATCTTTTGTTATTTGCAATTCCCTCAATATCGTAGGAAGTGATCCAGTAAAATTTTCGCAATCACTAGTTGCCAGCAATAAAATGGGCAGGGAAGGCTGTAAGTCGCACAGAAGTCCACAAATAGTTGCTCGTAATGAATCAGATGCAACAGACCACCATGTTTCGATACGAGGCAGGAATAGAACACAGGGACATTTACTAGAAGCTTCCATAATTACCTATGTACGTGTGCAAAAAAGTATAAGCATGATGCTAAATTTTATATTTGCACTATCTAAAAGGAGTACCAATCTTATTATAGATTGCAATATAAAGGACTTTATAATTACCTGGGCGCAAGATTCCTCTGGAGTTTTCATAGACGTGTACAAATGAGGAATATCCAGGTGATAAACTGGGATTTCATCTATGTTATGAAGAATCTCCAGGGCAATATGTGACGACTGTCCCATACCTGATTTACCATAAAGTAGAAGTTTTGGACGATAAATAATGGTCTCAAATGCCCCAGTGATTGATTGACTGTGTGCTTTATCATATCCTATAGCCAAAAAAATAGTATGATTAACATTTTACGTATGAACAGCTGCGTAACAAAAATGATATTGAAACGTAGACCTGAATACCTGAGTTCAGTAACTTGCCAAACGGAAATTTTGTTTTCAAAAAATTAAAGACTTTATCTAAGTGCGAGCTAAACAGAAGCCGCGTTAATTTGTTTAAAGGTCTCCCAACTGATATTACACCCCTCTGGGCAGACGGTGTAATTGAATTCATTGCAAATTCGTAGTCGCAAGGTTCGATATGAATCGAATCCACATCAATCTTTAACTTCTTGTTACTGTTATAAATTTGTGGATATCTACGACGTAGAGCATTTAATGCTGATTCAGTGCAAAGAGCTTTTATATCCGCACCGCAGTAACCAATACATTTATCTGCGATATCGTCTATGGACTCGTCCGTTAGTGGTGGATCCCATTGGCGAGTATGTATCTGCACTATAGAACGTCTCGACTTTCTATCAGGAAGAGGAAAGTAAAACTCACGATCGAATCTTCCAGGACGTCTAAGCGCAGGATCAATCGCATCGACACGGTTTGTAGCACCTAAAGTGACCATCATACAATTCAATTAATCAAATCAATATCTCGAACAAATAAATAAATCACTGATTGAAGACTACAAAACACTATAGTTACCAATAACTATAATTTCGCCTCGATTATCCAGTCCATCCATCAAAGCTAATAATGTTGACACAATCGATGAATGAATCTGATCTTGTTTACTGGAGCGAACTGGTGCTAAACCATCAATCTCATCGAAAAAAATTATGGCTGGCCTCATACCGTAAGCCTAAATTTTAGTCCGGATATAAATCTATAAGTCATACTTGGAAAGTAATTTGAGTATCTCAAACACGGGTTATGTCAACGACTACCGACCTGATCGAATAACAATCGTAGCTGACGTTCAGATTCTCCAGCCCATTTACTAAGACAATCAGCACCTTTTCTCATGAAAAAAGCTACCTTCTTTCCACCGAGACTACACTGATTGGCAACAGCTCGAGCTACTAACGTTTTACCTGTTCCTGGCTTACCATGGAATAAAACACCTCTTGGAGGAGTTATGTTAAATTTTTGAAATACTTCTGGATAAAGCAGGGGAAACAATACCATTTCCTTTAAAGAGTTGATATGATTGCTTAAGCCTCCAATATCATCAAAAGTAATTGTTGAATCTATCGCCATAGGTTCAATATCAGCTAGGCTGGATCCAATCTTTAATCTTTGTTCAATAATTTTGTGATTCGATAAATCTTCAGCTGCAAGAGTTATGATACAGTAAAAATGAATGATAAAATTGATACGCATCACCTGATAATAACAAGCTATTACTCTTACGTTTAAAATTTAAAGGAAGAAATCGGTTTCTAGATCGCATAAGACTTCTCTGCTTTCGCATCTCAAACCATTCTTCATCACTGGAGAAGGAATCTTGATCGTTACCAGCTATACGTAACTGTCGTTTCTTTTCTCGACGTCGTCGGTTTGAGGTATCTTTCTTGACATGTTTAAGCCAAGGGCGCATTGCATGATTCCGACGGCGTTTTATAGTTTCTCCAATTGGGATACTAAATCGTGTCGGAACATGACGTTTTTCACGTAAGTTGTACTTACGGCGATGGAAATTACCTACATTTATTAATTAATGAAGTGATGAAGGGTATCAACCCAATTTTAGTATTTTAAATATATTAGTAATTAACATGGGTGTAGTTGGATTTATGTATGAATACATACATATATACATATATATACAAACCCTCATCTTCGTCATCTTTATCGTCTTCTTCTACGTCATCTTCATCTTCGTCTTCATCATCGTCTTCATCATCGTTTTCATCATCGTCATCGTCTTCATCATCGTCATCGTCTTCGTCCTCGTTACTCTCAGAAATCTCATCATCTACGTTCTATAGGTATAGCACAGGTTCATATAATTTTACATTCCACAGGTCCATAATAAAAATACTAGAAATTTCAATCCAGTACACGTATTTTTCTTACATTCAGATATATAACTTAAAGGATTACTCCGTATCAATATCAGAATAGTACGGTTATCTATGCTACGTATAACTGCGTCATATCGAATATAGATAACTAATATATCGAACCGAAATTTGTATATAAAATCATACTTACATTAGCACTTGTAACAGCACGACTAATTTCACTCTTGCCAGTGAGTACGTCAAGATTTAAGGAATTGTAAACTAGTCGTCTTTGACGACTACTACGTCTTAACCAACCGTTATATTCCTCTTCGTCGTTTATACCGTCAGCAGCAATATCTAACGGATTAAAAAGGGTAAAGATACTTAGCGTACCTTAAAATTTCATAAAATTTGAAACCATAAAGAGTAATAACAGAGAGAATGTTTTATGGCATAAAATGTACTTCGAAATTGCAACTCAGACCAATATCATACAATCGGCCTAGTACTGTATATACGTAACGTAATCATTTCAATATAATATTACCTTCGTTTCTTTCATTATAATTATCATTTGAATCATCAAAATCCATAAATCCTCTCAAGGATCGTAATCTGTGGAGTGCACATAAAACGATTTAATTGTATAAATAAGCCAGTAAGACTGGATAGTAGCTCAATCATTACAACGAAATTTTTATACGTGAGTGAACCTGATAGCAATGACTACCGTATCAAGATAATCGTAGCTTCAACATGTAATCAATTTAGACAATTATAGATTAGTCTTAAATAATGTATATCATAATCTCTTACCGATGTGAACTTGGGCGCTCAACATTGACGGAATTGTCATCCGCATTATCTTTTAAGAATGCCCTCTGAAAATAAGATAGATAGTTGGGTTATTAGATATGTGTTAATGTCTAGCCATTCTTGCGATGGCGTTTATCGACATTTGTAATAATTTGCAACAGTATTTAATTACAATAGTTAATATATGTATTTCGATTCTAATTTAAGGTAAAAGTAGTGTGTGTCATTAGATTGATATCAGTAAGCAAAATTATCCACAGTAACACACATACGTTAAAGAAAGCATCTTGTAAAAGCGATAATTAAAATAGAAATGGTAATATTTACGGTGATTGTCAAGCGAACCGGAGCTAGTACATAAATATGGATATGCAATGAAAATAAAGATTTTTATGCCTTTTTGTCCTACCTCTTGATTAACATTATTGACAACGAGTTTGTTTCTACGAGAATGCCTAGAATTGATGATATTAGTGAGCAAATTACGCCGACCGTTATTGCTTGATCGAGACCGTGTTGCCACCATGACTGATTTAATACCAGTTTTTGAATAAGTTTCCTTTCAATCTAAAGGAAAAAATCAAATCATTTTTAAGTTAGTTAATCGACGGTTAAATAGCCATCTATTAATTATCATTGTTTCACTGCTGCTGCACCGTGTATAAATATTTTGTGTTGATAAGCATCAAGATAGCACGAACTTTTCTAGAATTTAGCATTGGATATAGTAAATTGTAATTGATGCCATAGAGATATAACACAGTATACTGCAAGTACTTCAATACTGTAAATACATCGCTTTATAAATTATTATTTTGCAATGAGAAATTACGTAATGTGTGAAATACAATATGCTTGCACTCCTCTTCCATCAATGATGCCTAAAAATAGAATACTGCATTCTATTTATGAAGCGCTAAAAATTTGAGGCCGATACCAAAGTGCTATAATTAGAGTTATCTGGAGCTTTATTACGTGAAATGTCAAAAATGGATAATAATTTTTTATGATGATGTAGTGAGGTCTGTCAAGGGAAACAGTGCACTTTACACTCGTTTGTGTCTAGTACGATAACGTCGAACTATGCGCGCAATAGCCTATAACGTGTTGCATAGAGTAATGTCAGGTATCAGCGGAAGCTGGAATTCTTGTTTCCAAGGACATTTATGATATTTGTAAGGAATTACAGTATAATAATTATTACTTGATAAGTGAAACTGCATAAAGTTCGAGTGCAGTAAAATGGAGACAAACAACGTATACCCTAAATCGATCTGCTTATTTTTGCTAAGTAGGATGCCAGAGCTTTCAATCCTGTTGCAAAGTATCGCATCACTATGATAGTACACTCTATAACTATTTTAATTCTATCGCGATTTTGTAGTAATGGTAATGCCGATTGATAGCACTGTACTGCAAAATGAGGTCGTCGACATGGATCGTTGTTGCCATTCAGATTTGTCAGGCTTTGAATGAAACTTGAGCAATTATATATAAAATGCCTTGTCCATCACTATTGAATGGACTTGTTAAAGCCCAATACACATAGCTATCTTGTAAATCCATTGCACCAGCATAACATAATCAATCTCCACGTACGCGTACTGTATATCAAAGTGGTACAGTCAAATGTATGTGTGGTATGCAAGCAACATAGTGGAGAAAATTTCTCTACGGTGTCTGGTGTTCATCGTTCTATCCGGTCAGTATATTGTTATAAGAGCTCAAAACATTTGATCGTCAAATGATTGTAAGCGATTTGTCAAAGTCTTTTACCCTAGGAATACAGTGTATAATATGAAGGGAAAATTCATATGGGCCATGTCAAACTATCCAGTTGCTGCAATGAATTACTTTGTCGTGTCCAATTATCCACTCCACATTATCCTATACCATACAGAATGATGCATGTTGCATACCTTGCATCATTCAGTTTCTTTTCTACAGTATTACGCCACCTTACTGACGCCATTATTTGCTTTTCATTTTCCATTCAAGTATCATACTATACATGAGTGGCTGATGAGAAGAATTTTATATTGAATATTACGACATTATGATCTATTTGAGCGATAACACCAACGGTCCACTTAGTTATATCAATACTAGAAATAGGTGTCTACCGGCTCGCACTGATGATGGCTTCCACCGTGTTGACTGACTTTGAATAAGAACTTTCTTCACTAGCAATAAGCACAACAACATCGTATATCGATTTACCGTAAAATAGCACAGGCTACTATTACCTGGTTAAGCTACTCTCTCTCTCTACTGTACATTAAATGTAAAGGGATACTGCAATTGAATATGTTGATGGACAAGATGGATGATGGCAACTTTTCAATCCCACTCCATTGAGGGGGGGGGGGGGGGGTCTTGGGTGTACTGTACGAGTATGTCGCAGGGTTCGATTGTGGATTGCAGTCTATTGCCTATAGTACAGCAAAGGAATCGGGGGAGACAGTGTACTGTTCTCTCTCCACCGCATTTCAAATGGAGAGCACTGTGTTGTTCTAGCCACACACGTACCTTCTCCTTGTTGTATACTATTTCCAGTCCATGTACTACTAGTACGACGAGTCTACGATGGCCGAAATCAACTTAAATCATCCGTTAATAATTTCCTTCTAATGATAGGAACAACAAGTCACCACTTGCTTTGTGCTTTAAAAGTGAATGGGCTTACTTCAGGTTGATGTTGTAAAATAGCAGAGTGTAAAATAGGATTCACTTCATCAAGAGCAGAATGAAAGAAAAATTTTTTGAAACTTGCCTTCGCTTCGGGCTCTTTTTGCGCCAAATATTACTTCAGGCTGACTTTTGGCGACAGTCCATCGTACTGTAGTGTACAGTGCACAGTGTGAAGTACTGTAGCGTACAGTACTGTACAGTATAGTAAGAGTGGACACTGTTTTGGACGGACGGATATTGGGCCAACTTTGGTCAACAAATTGTGTCAAACACTTCATTATGGGAGTAACTTTAGTATTCAGACAGTCGATTCTGAATTGACTGATTTTTTCTAAATTAAGTAATACAATATTGTATTCTATTGCCTGTTGCTAAGCTCTGCTTGAAAGCGGTCACTTTAGATCATCAATGTTCTTCAAATTAATACCAATGATTTAGAAAACAGACACGGCAGATCCATACTGAGTAATTCTTTTTAAACATTTTCGCCCGCATCTGGTCTGAAAAGTCCGTCCGCCCGAGGTACAGTATATTTCTACAGTATATAGTACAGTACACCGGCTGTCACATACAGTACACTGTGTTTACAGCATTCCAGCCGTGACATTGCGTATGCAACAGCTGCATTCATGGCCCACAAGTTGCACAATGTTGGGACTTGTCAGTTTCAAACTGTTTTAAGAAGACTAAAAACGTGATGTCGACGTGAACAGGTGAGAAAGCATCCTTTACCAGAGACTACTAAGGACTACTGCACAAGAAAGAAAGAAAAAAAAGAGGCCCCGGGACGTAAAGCGATCGTTGACTATACTAATAATGTGCAGGCCGATTATTTTGGGGCCATCTCAAGGGTATTGCATGTCTGTAACGGAACACTACCCTGTCTGCGGTTGACATGCAAATTAGCTGCTAATAGGCTGCTAAGTTGGTTCTGTACAGTGTACAGTATGATATACAGTTTCATTGCTGTACCATATAGTAGAATGACCGGAAAAATGATAGGCCTTGACATTATTTTGCACTGACGGATGCTCTCTTTCTTTCCTGTTAGTTGTTCCTCTGCATTTACATGCTGAGAACCTGTAATTTATCGTTGGCATAGTTCTAGTTTGGACACACGACTGAGTCTAGTGCAAAGAAGCTGTCACATTTACCGTAGTACTGTACACATTGCACAATAACCACTAAAGAAAACCCTTGGAAACGTTTTCCTACGGTCTGCAAAATATTGCAGGTATAAAAGTCAAACCATAGACCGTTAGAAGAAAATTCATAGATCTAGATAGAGGCATGGACTATTAAAGTACCTTTCGAGTTCATAACTGAGGTACTGTAATGTATAGTATTACAGATATAGCGCACTGCACACTTGCTGTAAAATGACCAGCAATGTCGGCCGCGCCCTCCCTAGTCCAGTCAACACCAAGTTTCCGTCTTTCTTTTCCTCTGCCTACTAGTCCGTAACTGGATGTACTGCACTATGTACTCTGCATGCATGGAGTGATGACCATGTCCCTGGCCATGCCCACATGGACAACGCTATAGATCATAATAACACTACAGTAGCCAGTATTGGTTATATGGGTTATACACTATTATTTATTTAGTATTTATTTGTTTACAGTCTGCCTGTACACATATACAGTACTCGTACCACATACGCCCAATATGGTTTATCGACCTCAATCGGAACTTTGATGTGGACTAGTATATACTGTATGCATGGACGACACTTGTTTTCTTCTACGATATACTGGCGCAGTCCAGTATGATCCTTTTCCAATCCGATCAATCAGCACATATTACAGTATATACGGGCATTTTTTTCACGAAATCCGGTCAATTTTCAATATGTGGAAACAGTAAGCTCTCATGGCCATTGATGTATATATATTATATTAAAGAATTGGAAACGAAAAGGATCAAGCTGTTTACGGGATTGGATACCTACCATTAACAATTTCCAGGACGGCGGTACTACAATAGGATGTACTGTAATTTACAGTGTACAGTACAGTTTACAGTACTATGCAACTCCACACTTGATACTTCTTCCTCGCGCGAAGTGCCAAAGCGCAAAGGGCGATCTGTTGTTGCTGGCTCTGGACGTGAGGTAGGTGCAGTAGGAAGTAGTTTTGCTACTTTTATAGTAGGAGTCGAATCCAACTTTGCTAACATTGGTTTGATTCATTGGACGGAATCAGTTGCTAGGTAAACGCCGAAATCCTTTCAGTTATAGCGATCATTTTATCATTGTTGGAATAATCGTCAAGATTCAACATGGTAGACATTGCAGATATTGAAAAATCAGCCTTGGGACCGGTTTATCCTCCAAGTCCAAGAGTTGTTGCTGAAGCTCATGTTAAGAGCATGGAGGAATATCGTAAGATGTATGATAGGAGTATCAACGATCCAGTTGCTTTTTGGGGCGATATAGCTAAACAATTCTATTGGAAAGGTGCACCAGAAGGCAGAGTATTCGATTACAACTTTAGTAAAAGTAACGGCAGAATTTTCATCAAGTTTATGGAGGGTATCAAAACCAACGTCTGTTATAATGTTATTGATCGCAATATTGAAAATGGCCTTGGTGATAACGTTGCTTTCTACTGGTAATCATCACTATCTAAATACGTTGCTTAAGTAGTATGCAATCTTGCATTACATAGAGTAGTTGTTTAGTATTATTTATTAACCAACTCACCTCTCAACTATGCTTGATGATCGTCTTTGCATTGCGTAAGCAACGTGCCGTCGCCAAAATCATCCACAAAGTAGTCCTGCATTTTTAGCTCTATAGTGTAGCTATGCCCTACTGTAGCACTATCGGATTAACTATCCATACTGGGCATAATAGATAGAGTTGTTAAACTTAAGCCATGCATCCGATACAATTAGTTACTATTTACAATGATATAACAAGGATATAAGTTCATAGAACGATATCACTCCACATATAGTATCTATAGTACAGGGACTATTGCAATAATATGGTAGTATTCTCGCGATCCATCCTACCAATGGACGAAACCACTGCAGTAACTGTACATAGTAGCAATTAACAACCTTGTAATTGCATGACGATTGAAACACAATATCATTTCGAATCTAAATAAGCTATCCTATACTCTTGTTAAATCGTGACGATTTCCATGACAAGGTATAAAATTGCAAATTATAATCACCTTAGTAGCTGACTTTTACTACTAGATCATTTGCTAACTATTAATTAATTTACCTCCAGCTTAATTTCGACTACGGTATTCAAATCAATTAAAATTAAACTAGTACTAAAAAACACTACTATAGTGCTTAAACGGTACTGGAAAATAGCAATTTAACTCTTACTCCGTGCTTTTCGACCCAACTTATAATGATAATAAATAATAGCCAATCGCCACACCGTAACACTGAATATAAACTGTTAAGCCGAAATCCTGTTTATTTTAGACTTTACGTGAACGATCAGGTTTATATATAGAAAATTGTTTGTTCCACGTGTACAAAATTAGCGTACAAATCATTGCGATATACATATATTAATATGCTATCATAATCGTTATAAATCATTTTTATAGTCAATTGTTATTATTGCAACTGCGTTTATGCAATATTTGCATTTTTAGCTGTATATTTTTTCTAAATATAAGTAAAAGCGTACGCGTACATACGAGTAAATGCCTCATCTGCTAACCTCAGTCACTGACTTTTTCATTGAGATATCGAGTAGTGATCAGAATTCATTTCCAACCGAGCAGTACACCACTTCGGACTTGACTATCTTAACATCAACTGCGTATGCTTTCACTGTAATATAATCGTAGATTTTATGTACTCTTTTACTGCAATCTAATATTCATCACGGCCTAATCCAAATGCGCAGATTATCGCATGGATGTCAGAAATTGAGTATCCACACATGACTTTGACGATGTACATCACTCCTTCACAACTTATTTATCCATTACCCATATACCGTATGTAGGGAAGGAAACGAACCAGGTGACGACTCTAAGGTTACCTATAGTGAGCTAAAACGCCGAGTTTGCCAATTTGCCAACGTTCTAAAGGCTAAAGGTACTATAATCGAAAGCTTTAAGAATTAGCAATATCATATTATTAAGCTATTTAATTATTAATGCTACTGCAATGTTAAACAAGCATGTCGTTGTGTCATAAATAAATATCACAAACTTCCATAATTCAGGTGTCAAGAAAGGTGACCACGTTGCTATCTATATGCCCATGATACTTGAACTACCAATAGCTGTCTTGGCATGTGCAAGAATTGGTGCACCACACTCTGTTGTGGTTAGTGAAATCTTTAGCACGGCTTAGTTACATTATGCGATTTAGCATGAATATCTCTATAATGTCGTATATGTTATATGCAGTAGTGTATTGTTATGATAGCCTGTACAGTATACGTAATTTTTACGAAATTTAGTCTTATTTTGTATTTGTATATTCCAGTTTGGTGGATTTTCAGCGGAATCACTAGTTGATAGAATACTGGATTCGAAATGTTGTCTCCTTGTCACTGCAGGTCAGTTAATTGTCAAATGCTAGTAAGCAAGACGTAAGCACTGCTCCGCTAAAATTGTAAGTTGGTTTCTTGCAGACGGTTTATACAGAGGGAAGAAATTAATAGAACTGAAGAGTATTGCTGATCAGGCTTTCCAAATTCTGAAAGATAGGTAAGTTGGTATTGTTAGAGTTACAGCTTTATTGAAGATTAAATTAATGCTTTACTTTCTTGTCCACCGATATTTTAGGAATTACTCGTTAAAATGCTGCATAGTTGTCAGACATTTGTTAGAGGATTTAGACAAAAAAGGACCTCAGGAACCACCAAAACGACCATCAAATGTGGCTGTGAGTGCAAATGCAAAGATGTTATAATCACATAATTACAATTTGGGTTGTTAATGGTAAGACTTATCAATTGCTTGAACGTAGATCGGATGGAATGAAGAATTAGATTGTTGGTGGCATGAAGAAGTTGCCAATGTTTCAGATGAATGCGAACCTGAGTGGCTCGATGCCGAAGATCCTTTATTTCTTTTATATACTAGGTAATCTTTTCTCCATACACTAGTTAAAGCTGTGATGTTTGAAACCAAAATCGTTATACATTTGTAATTTACGTTTCAGTGGATCGACTGGCAAACCTAAGGGAGTTGTTCATACTCAAGCCGGTTACCTTTTATATGCTGCGACAACATTTAAGTTAGTAAATCTGTTAGAATTGAACTCTAATTTAAGAATAATTTCCTATGTGTATTTCCAATAACCGTTGGTATTACAAAATTCCTGTAGATATTCATTTGATTATCATCATGGAGATGTCTACTTCTGTACTGCTGATGTTGGTTGGATTACTGGACATAGTTACGTCGTTTATGGCCCTCTCGCTAACGGTGCCCCAAGTATTGTGGTCAGTAGTCTTTATTTTTAACTGTGCTATCATAGTATGACAACTGAAGAACATATTATTTCATAGTTTGAAGGATTGCCCGTATACCCAGATGCTGGTCGCTACTGGGATATTGTAGACAAGTATAAAGTTTCTAAATTTTATACTGCTCCAACAGCAATTCGTTCCCTCATGAGATTTGGTCCTGATTATGTGAAAAAGTACTGTAACTATTTTCAATGCTTCATGTTTTCAAAAGTGATACTACTGATTGCAACCATTCGATTCATTTTAGGTACAGTCGTAAGACATTAAAGGTGCTTGGATCTGTGGGAGAACCTCTTAATCCGGAAGCTTGGCGTTTCTATTATGAAGTTATTGGTAATGGAGAATGCTCTATTTCTGATACGTTTTGGCAGACCGAAACAGGTGGGCATGTTCTTACCCCACTTCCAGGTTGTACACCCATGAAGCCTGGATCTGTGGTAGGTGATCATTTTATAAAATATCAACTGACAATTCTTGTGTCATCATTGCACTATTACTGTTGACTCAAGAATATATTCAAAGGGATGTAAAATTATCTTGTTAGTGTTTCCCATTCTTTGGTATCAAGCCGGTCGTTTTAAATGAAGATGGCAATGAAGTACAAGGGCAGAGTGAAGGATATCTGGTTTGTATATCCCTATTCAAGTCTACTTGTAGTTGGTAATGACATATTAAGATGTTAATAAATTTGTTTCATATAGGCTATTAGCCAGGCATGGCCAAGTACCATGCGTACAGTTTACGGTGACCATGAGCGCTATGAAAATACATATTTTGGAAAATTTGATGGATATTATTGCACTGGCGATGGTACATTCTATTTCTTAATGTTTTACATATAACTTTTCGCTATTGATACTATTGTATTTGTAATTTACCCATCGATAAGTGTGAAAGTTTGAGTAATACTACTATATATTGTAATTGTGACCTAGGTTGCTTTAGAGATAAGGATGGATATTTTTGGATTACTGGACGTATTGATGATTGTATTAATGTATCTGGTCACTTAACAAGCACTGCTCAAGTTGAAAGTGCATTAATCGAGCACGATCTCGTAGCAGAAGCTGCTGTGGTATGTTTAAGCATACTTAATGTCTCCTGCTTCATCTTATAAGTGCACCCTACCGCATATATGGTGATGTCGTATTACTTTAATTACTTCCAGGTTTCTTATCCACACGAAATCAAAGGTCAATGCTTATACGCATTTCTAACCCTAATAAAGGTTTGTCTTGCCTACTTCGGTAAATTATTAGTGGCATCTAAAATCTTGTAACATTTCCCAAGATCGAACACTTATGCCTGTTAATACAATCTATTTTATTAAATAGGGAGCTGAATTTAGTGATGAAGTAGTCGTTCAACTTAAGCAACAAGGTATAAAATACATAGAGCTAATAATCATTACATCAAATTTTGACTTAGAAAGTGAATTATTTTGTAACACAGTTAGATAATATCATAATTTTGTTAAATATTAAGCGTCTTCCCTTTCTCACGCGTAATAGCTACTCTGGTATACTTATACCAACAATGTACTGTATTACTGTTGTTTTATATATTTAATCGGTGCTTTCATTTCTTTTTAGTACGACAAAAGATTGGGTCTATCGCTGTACCGGATTACATTCAAGATGCCCCTGGATTACCTAAAACTCGTTCGGGAAAGATTATGCGCCGCGTTTTGAGAAAGATTGCTCGTAATGATCACCAATTGGGTGATATTTCTACAATGGCAGATTCGTCAATCATTGAAACTCTATTCCAGTTGCGCCCGGCTTCTCTGAAGTGAAGTAACTTGTGCTCAAATTTCATGAACGAGAAGCACATAGCTCAATTTTGAAGTCTTTTTATTATGAATTAATCAGTTGGTGTAGCAATTATGTTAGATCTTGATAATCGGACGTTTATTGAAGCGATTCTTATAAGAAACACAGACGCTTATATTACCATAATCTTTAACATTTTACTTTTTGGATTACGTTAATATAGCTTATGTCACTATTCCCTAAATATTTTACGTATGTTAATGATTTACGTGACATTATGGTAAGGAATGCTTTATTTCATAATCCCAAAGTGCTACCAATCAGACCGCGCTGTCCAACAATTCCTTATCTTACACTTGGTCAAGAACCGCAATTGCTTCTATTTCAATCCTAGCAAGCTATAATACAGTAAATAAATAAACAGATGTTTGAATCATTTCCTAAAATCATTCGACTAATAGAATGAATTGTGAATCTTCAGAGCTCCAAAAATTATTTGTTTCTTCGCTTTCTAATAGAATGCTATCATACTTAGTAGTCACTTAGACATATACCTTCGGTAATTTTGAACATTCATAAGCTGCACGAGCAGGATAAGGTTCAGAGAAATCTATAGATGTTACAATGTCAGTGTTAAAATTTTAAATTGAAACGACATCATATAATTAACTACTGTAAATTTAATACAACTAAATATACGTATGAAACAAGGTATCTTAAGAAAAGCTTGTGTTACTGTTTCTAGCCTATAAGATATACAGTACAGTATTAAAACAGTTTTTTAAAGCTACATCATTAGCGGACAGTACAAAACCACATGTATATAAAGTTAGCCACAGAATATGTACTATGAGGAGAAAATAGCAATAAATTGCTAAGCTTTTTGTAACTAAGTGCAACATTATTAGCTGAATTCATTTAACATTAAAGTAATAACTTACATTGGGCATAAATTTTGTTTACCGTCGCGAAATCATTTATGTCCGCAAGCAGGATAGTTGTTTTGACAACTGTAATTCAATAAGAATTATCATTAATGCAACATCCAACCGTATTAACTCTGAATTAATATCTACCCGTTTTTTTATCAATAAGTCTATTTAATACTAGAAACATTCATTGTCTCATTAAATGTAACAGATAATCGATACCTACAGTAAATCTAAGTGAACGTATTCAGAAAGGGTGCTTTACTATATAACACTATAATAAACATGGTTACGAGATAGTCTTCTGTCTAGCAACTTGACTTAACTAAAATGCCAGAGTACTTTTATTAATATACGTCATTTTACACATATATTTACACATGTCGTATGTATATACATAGTATATGCTCTCCGCAACATTTCAGATTTTATTTAATTAACCGCATCCAAACTGTACTTTATTACGTCGTTGGATGTAAAGTATTAGTAGCAAAATTTCATAACAGCATAGCTAACCGTCTTTGAATGAAGATCCTGCTTCCTTCAACACTGCACGAATGTTTTGTAAAGCCTGCAATAGAAAGGTGAAATGGGATTCAGTTAAACGGACGATATTGCAAGCTGCAAGCGGTAAACGGTGGTTTTCAAATTCCGTTTTATTAGTATTGCAGTTTATTCAATTATATTATAATCGATTTATAAAACGCACATTATGTATTCAATTTAACGAAATTTGCCTACGGAAGCGTGCTACGGTATGTAAAAGGGTATTAGATACTGTCTCAGTACGAATGATTTTAATTATTTAATAATAATTATACTACTCACTCTACAGTATGATTATCATGATACTTTCATTATCAATTGCAATTTTAAGCTCTGCTTAGCTTTCACTGCGCTGTTAATAATTATAATTGCAGTCATGCACTAACTAACTTGATTTGTTTGTGCTTCTACATCCGGTCCAGCAAATTCGTTACTCTGTAAAATAAGCATAACACGAAATTTAGAAACGGAAAAAGCTGCCATTTTCATTAGCAACATTCCTGCTAGGTAGTCATCTAGTCACAATCGAAGTATAAGAATCTATCGTCTATGAACTCCAATTGATAGCATACTGGGAATTTCCTTGACTTTGTAGCACAATGTCACGTACCTCAGGTGATAATCCAATTTGGCCAGAAAGATACAAGGTATTACCCACCTTGAGGGCTTGACTGCAGAAGAATAAATTTGTTTACAATGAAATACTCGTCAACACGGCTATTAATTAACATCTGTCATCAAACATGGATTTTACATTATCTCATATTACCTGTATGGACCTATAGCCCCTGGCGCCATGGCCGTCTTAATTACAGTACGAGCAAGAGACATGTTGGATTTTCAGAGCGGTTCGAAAAGCCAAAGGAAAGTCGATCCCTTTCCTACCTCAATAAATAAAGAAAGGGGTCCTAGCTATGGGGCACAACTACAGTACTATTAGTATTAAATTCGCTACGCACGCGTACAGTACGGTACAGTCATGGACTACTGGAAGGAACGGCCGACTCATACAGAATTTCTTCCTTGAGGATAGAGGAATGAGGAGGCTTATAAAAACACATAAAAAGCTAAAGTCAATCTTTATAAAATTTGATTGAGAGGAACCTGATAAACTGCTCTTGCTAATTAAAGAAACCTCGATCATGCTTTTAATTTTAAGCGTTAATATGGAGCTTACCATATCAAATCAGTTATGAGACTACCATATTAGCCAAGATTAAAATACAATCACAAAAGCAGTACAGCTTGAACGTTAAAATGGTAAATTTTCTAGTAGAAATACGTTAAAAATCAAAGGATATCCATCGTCCCTTTTACTATAAATTTGACGGAAAATGAAGGCTTTCGACCCCGGACCAGGCCTTCTTCTAAGTTCTATGGTAGTACCATGGAATCTATTAATTATAAGTAGCTATCTTTACGCGTCTGCATATCGTACCATTTAGTGTACTGTATACAGTACCTGTTTTGAGAAATCCCTAATTTTTTCCTTATTGCCTAGGATAGTTATTGAATCTACCCTTCAATTCATTACGCAACAGCATATTTTACGCCATCCAGGCTTAATTCACGAATACAGAATTTCTGTGCTCTTCTCAAGAGTAAAATATGACTCAGTTGATGTTATAATCGTTAGCCAAAAATTCGTTTAAAAATACATAGTATTTATCCTTAACTAATATTACAACCCTTAGG